TTTTTGCAGCCAATTCTTCAGATGTTTATTATAAGTATTGAACAAATAAAAGAATCAACCAACTGTCCTCATTTCTAATTCCCACTTATTGTACGATGCAAACTCTAAATGAGTTCAATGCTCATGTTATATAGTTGCTGCTAGGGCTTCTAGGTCTAAGTCTTCAACAAAAAAAAAATGTTGCCTAAACATACAAATATAAAGTAAAAAGGCTGATCTCAACTCCAGTTCAGCGACTTCTTTTGTTAAAGAATTGCATTTCTTTTTGTAATCTTCACTCTCTATGATAAGAGCAGAAGAGTGCGATAACGATAGTCTCAATTCCGACGGCTCACTCTACTTTGCCTGCATTCCAAAATGCTTGGGAAGCTGTGCTTTCTCGGCCTTTTATGGCTCGGGTCTGTATCATCAGATTGTGTAAGCTGTACCACAGGTGGATCTAGGTGCGTTCCACTTTTTCTCCAAGTAGAATATCATATATTCAGGTGGTGCGTAAGTCAAGGGGTATGCAGTGCAGTAATCGATAAATCATGCGATACAATAATAACAGTTAATTTTCTTTAATGTTAAATAGATAATATTCAAATTACAGGATTCTTTGAACTGCCCAATGCAAATGGTTCCAGGTTATGAATACAATGACACTTATACCAGAACAGTTGTGTTACCTCTGCTCGCTGGTGCTTATGCCAGACCCAATCCCAAGAAATGCTTGCAGTAATACCATGCATATGATCGTTAACATTCCATTTCATAACAGAAACGCGTTACCTACAACCACCTTTTATGAGAACATTGTTGTGGAATGTTATGCTACAGGTCCAAGTATGATTGACACTTTCTAAATTTCTTGACAATTTGATTAAAATAGACTCCACTTGCCATGCCTACACAGCTTATGACTTGAGCCGTAAATTGATTATTGTTGCCTTCGAAGGTACTGAGGGAAACCTTCAGCTTTCAGAGGAAGTTTTGGCCTTCTTCCAGTGAGTTCCGTTGTTCTTCGTATATTCATTTACTGTTTTTTTCAAGTACTAAGAAGAACTTCTTTGGTCATGGAAATGTGTTCGAGTACTTCTATAACGCATTTTACTATCTGTGGAATGGTGGTCTTCAAGTTTCCCTACGCAAGTTGCTCTACCTTTACCCAAATTTCAAACTTCTGGTAAGAAAATATTCTGGAAGCAGATTTATCGTTTAGTTGAGGCTGTTGGGCACTCTATGGGTGCTTCGATCTCTTCCGTTTTCGCATCTCATGTGATCGCTACAAATCTTTTAACTCCAGACAGAGTTCAGTTGATAACTTTCGGACAACCTAGAACTGGAGATCGTAACTTCTCAGTTTGGCATGATAACACAGTAAAATTATATATCATTGTTCAACTATATTCTCGTTACAGTTCTTGTACTCGTACAGAGTTAATCATCATCGTGATCCTGCTCCTCATATTCCACCCAAAGGCGGGCCTGATGAGGTTTTCCACCACAGATTCGAAGTTTGGTGAGCTAAATTTAGATTAGTCCAATAAAACTTTGATTCCTAACAGGTACAACAATGATATGACTGTCGGAAGACCATATACAGTTTGCTTAGAGGCTGATGGACCATATTGCAGTAACAAACAGGTGATTTTCCTATACGAGAATTTTGTTTAATTAACGTTTCTTTAAGATTGACGTAGAAGGTCTAGACCATATTGTCTATTTCAATGTTAATATGGGCAATTGGGCTGACAAAGATTGCGTTCCATTCAATTGAGTCGAGCATTGTATTCCTTGATGACTATGCGGAGTTTGTTTTATTAATAAATTTTTTAAATACATGTGAAAAACTTGTCTATGTGACAATATTGAAAACCATTATTTGTCTAGAACAAGCACTGTCTTCTCGTAAACGATGTAACTAACATGCAGAGATCAGTAGATCGAATAACCTTTGAAGAGATATTTTGAGAATCACTCGCAGCAAAACTTATTTCGATTTCAGTAATCGACGATCAATTTCTTCAGTATTTGAAATTAGATAATGTTTGGCGAAGCTCTTGAAGCATCATACTGTCCATGGAGGGAATCGACAGACTGACTTAAATAACATAAAAACCATCCAGCAGACAGTGATAGAAAAGAAAATAAATACGAAAAGAGTTCAGAAAAATTATTGCGGAGGTTGCCGATGATATCATAGCAAGGTTAGATCGCGGAACTCGGAATGCAACCGCTCTAAGGCGTTCACAGTATTGAAATGAAAGACGCCACGTGCAAAACACGCAATGGTACGTGTTTGAGAATACCTAGGAACAGACAACAAGGTTGAATTGAATATGCAAATAGTTGTGATTCATGAACAAACTAAATGACTTGGTCGTAGAATGGTCGTGTGCCTAGTGCTTCAAACTGCCATTTTACCTGATCTTCCGTTGGCCTTTGACATGTCAATTGAGTTCATCCAATCTTCTGTTCTCGGCAAACATACTCAAAATGCCACAATGTATTCAAGAATATTTACTCGTTTAAACTGCTATTTAAGCCACAGTAAGTTCGCAAATCGTATCAAACATTCTCTCTGGAGAATTACGAACTTAGTCTCCCTACGAGTATTTATACGAAGATGTTAATCCATTTTGTTTTCGCCGTTACTTTACTCCAATTACTGAACGCTCAGAATGTGCCTGCCGTAGCACAACCTGAATTCACTCCCATCCAATCTGACAGTTCTGCTCTTCAAGTTCGAGACCGTAGACAGTATTCTTATACTTTCTACTACTTATGTGGAAACCCCCCTAATCAATACTTATCGTATACACGTAAGCTCTTATCGCATATCCATAATTTATTTTCAATTTTTTAAGCTTGTAATAACTGTAATAATTGCAATAATAACTGCCAGTACACTTGCTCTACAACCCAATATTGCCGACAGTTCAATTCAGCCTGGTCATGTGTGAACAGATGTTGCACTGTAAGATTGATAAAGCGACCTAAATTCTCATTATTTTTTTAGGCCATGTACAATCCCACGCAAGCGCCAACTACAACCAACAGACCAGCTCCACTTTGTGGAGGTCGTGAAGCTTCCGGAGGATATTGTAGAGCAGGCAGTCGTTGTGACGCTGGATTCCTCTGCACGTCTTCGAATGTATGCTGTCGTTGTGCATATGGTACAAGCATCGGTAAGTGATACAGAAAAATTTGATAACTCTGTGAAGTTCAATGATTGAAAATTGAAACTGATTGCAGGCCCATGTGTGAACGGCAAATGTCCAGACAATACTCAGTGTAATCAGAACAACGAATGTTGCCCTTATCAAGTCAGCGGATAATACTTGATCTCCTTAACCCAGCTAACTTGTTCTCAATGAAACTGATGTGTATAAAGATGTAAAAATTAGACTTCTTTATTACTTTTCAACAATAAAACTATTACAATCTCTGCTGTTGCAACTTAAGCTTAATGACAATGATGAATTAAAGAAGAAGAAAAAAACACTCGCAGGCATACACACACACACACACACACACACACGCACGCACACGCACACACACACATTATGAGGAAAATGAGAAATTAGAAAACTTGAATGGTTGACCCATGGATCTTATCCTAAGCGAAGAAATAAAAAGAATCAAGTATTATTATAAATAAGCTATAAATATAATGTTATTTCACGATACATTTGACAATCCAACTAAAGGAATATCCTCAACAAGAAAAAAAAAACTGTCCAACTACGTATTGATGATATTGGTGATGGTGAATGAGAAGAAGTATGAGAAGAGGAGAGGAAGACTAAGAGGAAGGAGTGTATTCAACGCTTAACTCATGTCCAGCAGATTACTGATCTGAGAAAAAAGAAAAAATTATTAAAGTTCAATAATAAACTTTATAAATTTACATAAAAAGGTCAAAGACGTTGGTGGTCTAACATGCAATGGAGGTGACACATGGTGAGCTTCAACACTACACTTCTCAAACTTGATGTTGTTGCGATAAAAGGAAAAAAAATGTTTGATAAAGATGAAACAATTTCTTTCGTCTTCTATTCAATATATGTTTATTTATTAAGAATGTTAAAATAACAAAGAAAAAAAAAAGAGTTTGGTAGGAAGTAAACCAAAGCGGATGGGAGAAAAGACATTTGAAAACTGGAAACAAAACTCATTATATCACAAAAGTGGAAAACCATTCGAATTCAAAAAAAACACCCAATTAAGTCTTCTTCGTATCAGTTTAACCAAACAACAAGATTATTCAAGCATAACCTTTCTTATATACGTGTCTGTTCCAACTTGAATAGAATTGCAAATTTGGTGATACGGTATCAGATTGGTTAAAAAATTGTTATACTCATAATCATTGCGCTATACTATATCATATAGTTAGCAATACTTGACAGCATTATTGTAAAGCACGCTACATGCAAGTACCAAATATAATCTAAAAGGGTTGTTACTGTGCATGGTATAAGGAAGAGCCTAATGAGACATCAGAGATTAAGCAGAGTATAGAGGGAATTGGAATTTGAAAAAGGAGTATGAAGATGAGAAAGGGTGCAAAATAGAAAGAGAGAAAGAGAGAGAGAGAGAGATAGAGAGAGATGAAGAACGCTATGAAGAACGTTAATAAAAACTGACAAAACAAGTTAACAGATTAACTGCAATTGGGAAAAGGGGGTAAAAATCTATACATATAAGGAACCTGGAAAAGAAACATGCGGGTGTCCAAAGTTACGTGAAGCGAGTTTATAACTCGGCAAAATGAGACACAACCTGTTGAAGGCCAAGCTCGATCTTCGATTGTTCTCGGATCTCAAATTTCTTCACTTTTCCGGTGACGGTCAACGGGAACTCATGCTCTTTCTTGAATAGAATATACCGAGGAATCTTAAAATGAGCAATCTGAAAACGAGAAAAGATGTTGTTTCAATGCTGGCTACGGAGAGATTCTGACCTTTCCTTTACACCATTCCTTAATCTGTTCTTCACTTATTTCAACTTCATAAGTTTCATTTATTCTAATCCAAGCGCAAACTACTTCTCCATATCGCTCATCTGGTACTCCAACAATCTAAAAACCAAAAGTTAATCTTCGAGTTGAAAGAATGAAGGTGGGGCTAAAGAGTTCTACTGACATGAGCATCTTCAATCCGGGGGTGTTTGAAGAGGAATTGTTCAACTTCTGTTGGGTAAATGTTTTCTCCTCCGCGTACAATCATATCCTTTGATCTTCCGACAATAGAGATAGTTCCATTGTCATGCATTACAGCAATATCTCTTAAAAGTTTGAAATATTTGTGTTGAACAAGCTTCAATGAGTATACCCCGTATGATACCATCGATCTTCAGTTATTTCTTTTTTGGTTTGTTCTTCACTATTCCAATAGCAGCGCATCACCGAATATCCTCGAACGATAACTTCTCCTTTCTCTCCTCGTGGAACGATACAACCCCTTTTATCAACAATGGCCGCCTAAGAACACTTACAACTTGAAAAAAAGAAGAAACTTTGTTGAAACCTCTAAATGATCCATCACATGTCCGACACTCTTAATTCTCTGTTCAGGATGATCTTCTCGTACAGACATGAATGAAACAGGAGATGTTTCAGTTGTTCCATAACATACCTCAAACATAATTATTTGTTTTTCAATTATAAGATCAGATAAGAAACCTGCATGTCGTACATATGCATCTCAGTCACCAAACGACGACAGAGGGTGATGGGACAAGGAGCACCAGCAATGAATCCTGATCTTATGCTATCGTAATTATATTGCTTATAATCTGCATGATTAAGCATGTCAATGAACATTGTGGGTGTTCCATACAAGGCGGTACATCTAAATTTCATTTGCATTAAAATCACTTCCGTCTCAAAACTAAATTACTTCTCCTCATCAACAGCTTGAAGAGCTGCCAGAGCTTCAAAAGAAGGAGCTGGGAAAACGCAAGACTGCAAATGTACCAGAGCTGCTAATACTCCCAGAACACATCCAAAACAATGGTAAAGTGGATTTGGAATGCAAATTATAGTTTTCTGAAAGATGAAAAATTTTAATTTATTTTTAATATTCGTTGAAAACACGTTCTTAGATGAAATAGGCGTATTCGATAAGATAAGAGAAACTTGGAGGAAAACTTACTCGCTCATGATAACCAGCTCTTAGTCCAATGAAATAAGCATTATTGAGAACATTGTGATGAGTGAGAGTTGCTCCTTTAGGTTGTCCAGTAGTTCCCTATAATGACATCATTCGATTCTATTCATCGAAGAAATTTTTTTCTTACACTGGTGTATTGAATATTAATTGGATCATCTGGTTGAGTTTCTCTTTCGATTTTGGCCAGTTTCTGCCGATCTTCCTCTGTACCCATTTTTGTAACATCGCTGTACTTCCAAGCACCTCTTGAATGTCAAAAACATAAATAACCCAAGAAAACTAAAAAAACTTACTGATAAGCATTATCATCCTTATCAAATATTATTAAATGACGGAAGTTAGGGAATTCGACAGAGGTTATATCGCTTCTGCCTGCTGGTTTACCACTGATTTCAGGAATTACTTCCTAAACATTGCATAAAACAGTATCAAATACAACTAATTCGATTATATTACCCGAACAGTTTGGTAATAATTGGATTTCTTGAAGCCAGGTGGAGCAATAAGAACTTTGATTCCAACTTTATCGATTGCAAATCTCAATTCTTCCGATTGGTATGAGGGATTGATGTTGACCTAAGATAGGAAAAATGTAATAAATATCTGATATCAAGCTAGAAATTAAACTAACCATAACCATTCCCGCCAACGCCGTAGCAAATTGGCAAGTAACCCATTCATATGTATTAGGTCCCCATATTCCAACACGATCTCCTTTTTCGACTCCAAGATGAAGTAAACCCCAAGCGAGACGTTCAGCCTTCAAATATTACAGGAATATAGTGTAAAGAAGGAGTTAAATGCTTACATCCTTCAGAAGCTGTTGATAGGTCTTCCTGATACCATCCCTTTTAAAGATGACAAACTCTTTATCAGGAACCTAAAAACATGAAATACATAAGAGGAGAAAGTCGTGTTTAGATTCTTGTTGTGATACCGTAATTCGATTAAGGGCTAATGAATTCGAAGAATGAAACTCACACCTCACGCCACGTAAAATTCACGTAAAAACTTCATTTTAACGGATGTAGAAAGATGGAACGGTTGCATTCCTATTCCTTTCTCCTATTCTCGTCTCACTTCTTGCTTTTCACTCTTTCAGCTTCTATTTCTCTTATTCTCTTTTTCCGCAACTATACCTCGCTCACTCTTTTTATTTCTTATACTTCATTTTTAATCTCTACGTGAAATCGTAGTTTTTTTTGAAACTTTAGAAAGCCCATACCCGATCTGCAGATAGACGAAGACGTTCTCCAACAGTTTCGAAAAGAAGAGGAGTCTGACTGCAGCCATGGACATAACTTTTGCGACTGGGCTGTGCCTGAGCCATGGCAGTTTGAGCTGCCTCTTCAGCAGACAACGAATCGTCTGAAATTATAAAATGGAGAAAAACGAAAAAACAAATAGTAATTAGAAAAACTTGGATGCAATTTAATTTTTGAACCGGTTATCATCTCTTGGAAGAGCAGATGTGAAGTTGTACTCGAAAGTAAGACAGGAACAAGTTCGATCGATTGTCTTCACCCCTTTCTTCACAAATGTACGAAATGATGGACGGAATCAGGAAATGAAAGGTCAAGCGTCATTGAGATGGAAGATACCCAAATATATGGGAAGAAACTCCTAGTTGATAACGATTTGAAAGAATAGGTGATGACGTTTTACGTCCACAAGGCTTGATCATAGCAGAAACCACATGAAGATACAGGCGTTAGCTAATCGAAGGGGTCAAAACAGAAAGAAGCCAAACATCACATCAGTGGCGTTTTATAAAAAGTTACCTTTGACAGTTCTACCAGCAGGGCTCAGACTTGATCTCCATTTTCTGTTTAAGAAGCATGTGATAGAGCTTCGAACAGATGAAGTCATAGTAGATTACAGTTTGCTGTCGTATATGAAACAGTTTTACAGTCCAATAAGATAATCCGGAATTGGATGAAGGAAAGGTGTGAAGCTTGAATGTTGTGTCGGCAGGAATTTCCAATGAATGTACAGATGAGAAACTGGCAAGCTACCAACTAAGCGAGAAGAGATAGAAGGATGATGGGAGTAGAGAGAATAAAAATGTTATGAAGAGAAAGGGAGAGCAGATAAATCTGAACAGGATAATGAAATGAAGTTCGCATGGGTGACAATCCCCAATGGACACTTCACTAATGCACAAGTCTCATTCACTCATTCCTCATAAGGTTTGATATGGAGAAAATGGAAAACTCATAAAAAAAAGATTCAAAAAGGGCGAATGCGGATGAAGTTTTAGCACAAAAAAAGGAATTCAATCATTTCATGATGGAAAAGCTTCAGAGAATCATCTAAGTGCTTTCCATCTTTATTACTTAATCCATTCTACATTACCTCGACAGCCTACGCAGACCTTAACACAATGAGGAATCTAATTGGCAGAAGCAAGTATGATGACGAATTTCGTCACCGTCAGCAAAATTCTGAGGAATTTGGAAAATTGAGAGATGATAGAATATGGTCATTAGCGCGAAATGCATATATCGGCTTGTATATCAAAAATGTTTGCAAATCAAAATGGTCTTGTTCATACTCCCATAGCTTCCGTTTTCAAAGTTTCGAACAATTTTAGAGTGTATCCGAAACAAAAATAAGAACACCTACCTAGAAGCATGGTTAAGAATGAGTGCAAAGACGAAGCTTGGTCGGTTGAGCTACCCTGAAAAAAAAACAATATTAAAGTTTTTCGAGAAATAAAAAAAAGGAAATCAAAGAGAGAAAAACGAGCAGAGCACAGGAGAATATCCAAGACAACCCTATCAAATCAATTATTAGTTAACCATAAATTCAAACTACATCTGTAAGACCAAGTCTCTCTTTCTCTGACAGATCATACACGGATTTCAAAGCCTGAACGGCATAGAATCCGATTGTGATCAGCCCATCTCGGGGGGGGGGGACAGAAAATTTCCAAAGCGACAAATCGTCCACAGATGTAATGAAATGCTAATGAGTGAGATAGATGAAATGAAAAATGTGGATGAGAAAAAAATTATAATTTGTTTAGAATTTTCGAGAAACATCATGGTATTGAAAAGTTCATAGGACGTTGAGGTGAGATAGGAATCTTAGAAATTAGGCACACGAGATCCCTCCTCCTGTTGCTACTCAGCCTCCTCGTATCGGTAGATGGCCCTGATTTTTCATGGACAAACGGACTTTTAATAGAAGAAGGAAAAGTGAGAAAACAGAAGAGATGTAGAGAGAAAAGATTGGAGGTGGGTGGGAAGAACAAGCAATGCAGACACTGACAGATTAAAGAGTTTGTGAGTACTGATGGTTTTCAGAGAATAGTATGCAAAATAAAGAAAACTTCGAATGTTTACATTCTTTATAAGAAGTTTCTTATAGTTGCTTTTTTCTTATCTTCCTTTATGAAACACACTCTAAACCTCTCTTCCAGTCTCAGTTTCATCTTCTTGTATTCCATCTAATACACTAAACTTCCATCAACATTTTTCTCTTCGACGACAAGATAAGAAAAAAAAGGCTGTCAGGCTTTTATCTGAGTGTGTGGTACACCGTGGATTAGCTTCTAAAGTGAGTAGGAAGCTTTTGTTTCTCATGAGATCCGCCAGTAAATGTCATAATCCAGACACATTTGATGAGGAATGCGGCTCGCAACAAGCAAGTCAGATTTTCAGATATAAACAAACATTTCGCAAACAACGAAATATAACCAAAAAACGGAAATAAACTGAAAAGGAAAGTCAGAACGTGAACAGTGTTTGTTTCAAGTATTTCACGTCAACTTCGGACAGATGCATGATGACGACGACAATCACAATGAATGCAACGATTATCAGAGGCGGCGTTGAGCAAGGGCGTGAAGAAGAAACAAGCCAGTGGTTGATATTGGCCAATCATAACGAAAGTATGAATGAGTAGTATAAGTACAAAAATCATATAACTACTTGTTTGATGATAAAAATTCATTTTTCGTTTCTGAAATTATAAATGTTTGTCAATAGATTGAGATGAAAAATGAAAATTTAGGTCAAACGTGTGCGATCTAAGTATCAATCTGAATCCTTTTACAGACTACACAAAACCAAAAAAAGGAAAAGAAAAGGAGAGAAGGATAGCAAATAGCTGATTGATCTTAACATCAAAAAGTACACACGCACACATACACATACATACATAGACAAAGGTCGAAGTAACAAAATGAAAAATAAGAAAAAATAGACGAATGACGGAAAAAACAGTTGGCGGGCTCAAGACTTAATACATCCAAATGTTCATATAGAAATATGATGTTCTAATACGTTTAGTGTGTTCCATGAGATGTGAATGAAGCTGAGAAGCGATAATCGAACTATCACCAACTGGTAGTTGATCGACTTGATGCAAACCCCCGATTAATTCGAGAAAGCTATAACTTGGATCACTTAATAGAAGCTATTTAAGTAATTAGCCAGCTAGATAAAAAGTCTTAAATACTTTTTTGTAAAGCTTGTTACTACCATATCTAGATGGAAAGAGAAACGAAGAAAGCTTTGAGAGATTGTGATGAAGAGTGTATAATGGTCAATGTAGATGTTAAGGAGAAACAATATGTTGATTGTTTAAGTATTATGGTAGTAGTAGAGAACTCTCCCTCTAATGCATGGAAGTATCAGAATATATAATTGATAAGCTTGCTGAAATGAATTCATTCGGCATATTCGTACCATCGTTCCTTTATATGGCTTACTGACATGGTTGACCGATAAACGTACCATCCGTATGATAAGAATCTGCTGCACATTATTGTACGGACAAAGAGCAAAAAGGAAAATTCACACATTGCTAGTTATCTCTCTCAACTAACTTAAGATACGAACTGGAGTCAGCTAGAGATAATGGATAGAAGAGAGAATCCGGATACGAGAGTTTATTATTTTCTGATAAAAAACTCAGAAAATTGAATGCTAAACGTCACCCGTTTTCATTATTTGGAGGTTACAACGAACATTCGCATTTAAACAAAAGCAGATAAGGCTTGTGAATCAACTGATCACAAAACCTGAGATCAATCGCCAGTTGCTGTCACCTGTAACATGGGCTGATGTTTAGCTATTAAAACAGATACTGTATATGAAAGACAGATAATCAAAGTGATCGAGTTTAAAGTAAAACGAAACGAAACCTTTTACAAATCTTTTTTTTGTTGTTTATAACTTTCCCTCCCCCCCCTTCTGTCTCTAGATGTCTTAGAAGAAACATGAAACGATTAATAACATCGCTCAACCAACCCACCCCGACCACCCTCTCCACCCTGTGTCGTGCACGCCTCAGAGTTCTTAGTCCAAAAAAATAAGAAAAAAATCTTTTTTTTTTTGTTTCTAAAACTGTATGCAGGTAAAGACAACCTGTTAACGCAATCAGATGATCATCTGAAGAGTATATTACCAATACTAAGTATGTATGAGCCAAAAACATCAAAAAATAATATGTTGAAAGTAATGAGAACCGGTTAGAATGCCAAACATCCATTAAAATCAGAAGTCTATCCACTACTTCTATCAGCGAAAAAAAAAGTTTGCTTTCATTATAATATCGATACCCCAAACAAGATTAAAACAAGATCAAATAGAAGCGTTCCATCAAAATTTCAAGTTCATGTTCAGAGCTTGATGACCTTTAGACGCATTCTCTTATGCAATTCTTCCAAATTCAAAAATTTCGAATAAGGATTCGATGTAGTCTAAAGAGGTTAGATAGCAACAACTCACAAACTGCTGTAGCTATCCAGGAACTCTCTGAAAGCTTTTGAAGAGAAAACTGATAAAGAAGGTGTGCACTCTGTGTGGATACACGAGAAAAATGCATTTTCACTAGAAGAGAGAGATGAAGCATTGAATATATCTAGAGGAATTGTGAGGAACACGTACAGGATAGATTCAGATTAGCCAAATGATCCCAAATCAAAGGACATAAGCAATCTTATGAAGATGAAGCGACGGCTATGAAAGAACGGATGAGCGGAAGAAAAAGAAACTGGTTGTAGTTTGCGCAACTGGCCATACTAACATAGACAGAAGAAGAGATATATTGATAGAGACTGGACATTATCAAGCACACGTAACTATATGAAATTATTTTGTGGCATATACACATAGAGAGAACAATCTTGAAAATTTTAGATGAAAAGTAAAAAGAAGAAGAGAAACTACAAAAAAAAACGAAACTTGACGATGCAAAGAAGAAGATACATTAGAAGTACTGTGATCATTAAGCAAAACTCAATACGATAGATAGTGAAAGGAACAAAACATAAATAGAGATGGATGAAGGAAAAAAAAAACTTTTTTTTTCAAAAGTTTTCCTTCTTCTACATCATCTTCATCAACCATTTCAGAATTTTTCATTTTTGCATGCGCATGGGCAGACAGCAGAAATGCAAAAACGTAAGTCAAACACAGAATGGTTTTTAGCTGTGTCGTTCGATTCTCATTCGTCTCATTACATATGTTATTCTACTAAATCGTAGATATTATTTTCTTATTACCTTTTGTAGACAACCAAAACGAGATAAGAAGATATCTGCTAGATAATCAATCCAAGTCAGAGAAAACGGATCTACTCTAACTAACTCACAGAATATCATGAGCACGCTATCTAACACTCTTTGTTTCTTTTTCACTCTCTCTTCCTCTCTCTCTCTCATCTCTATCTATCTCTCTATCTCTCTATATTACATATATTAGACAGTTATAAAAAAAGATTTTTAATAAAGATCATCAAATATAAACCTTTTTTTTTCTTTTTTTTCTTGAAGGTATTATTCTCATATCATATTTTTCTTTTTGTTATTTTTATTTTCAATACATTTTCAAGTTAAAATATGTTTGAATGGCTAAAAAATCAGACATTCATCTTAGATTTTATCATAATCTCATGACTTTTTTTGATACACTGAAATGAACGTGACCAAAAAGAGAATCTTCGCCTTCTTCTTCTTCTTCTTCTTCATCGTCTTCTTTTTGCTTTTAAGTTGTCGCTCACTGTGTCTATCTCATTCATTTATCAATATCACCAAAAATTAATGTAAGAATTGACAATTATCCTACTTTCCATTCATACGTACATCTCACATATACGCTAAAAACGAATTTTTCATTTTGATTTCAATCCGATCTTACTACGTACTTTCTATTTAAGGTACATGACCGAAATGAAAAGTCTTCAATGAGTCGTTAGTCATTACAGAGTCCGAAACGAAAGTGAAATCTATCGGGAACAGTAAAATTCGTAGCCGGGAAACAAATTGTGAGAGAAAAAAGAAATGCGAACATGCAAGATGAATTAAAAAGGAAAAGAAAACTTTTTTCTGTCTCTCTCTCTCTCTCTCTCTCTCTCTCTCTCTCTCTCTCTCTCTCTCTTCATCTCTCTCTCTCTTCATCTCTCTCTTTATATTTTGCAAGTTAGTCATCAAACTGTTCATTGATAGCCGTACTCATGGCTTCATCTCCCTAATTTGAAAATGAATATCAGCACGTCTTGCATTTGCTACTCTTGATTTCATTCTCAAATTTGCTCAGACACAACCGTCCATTTCGTGTCACTGATTAAAAATGAAATAAGTGGTTCAGTTAATCTCCGGATGGAGAGTCACGTAGTGTGCACGTGAACTTTCATGCTAATACTGATAACAGTAAATGAAAATGTATGAGTCAACAATTATGAAAATAATAATAATTCATAGAACGTTCATAGAAACAATGCGATTGTTAAGATATTTTTATGAATTCTACAAGTATACATTATCTATGGATAGTTTTCGTCTTCTTTTCCCTCATCACACACTTCTGGATAGTATCGGAGATTTGAAGACGATAGATCCATAGACAAGAAGTGGAGGCGGAAGAGAAATAAATGAAAATACAAAAATTTATAACAAGCATTAGATAGAACGAAGCCCACGCATCCACAAGACGTTCTGGATGCATCACACTCAATCTTTGCTAGCTATTCGCATCTTTTAATATGATGTTTGTTTTCAAATGAATTTTATTTTTGAGCGATGGAGAAGGAAGAATTGAGAGTCATTTTGCTCTTTTTTCTTTGTTCGACATATATCTCTTACTAAAAATTTTCTGGTACTATGGAGGAGGAGAGGAGAGGTGTAACCGTTTTTCATCCGTGAATACATACCTCATAGAACTCAAAGCAAAAGGAGATCAATGAACTGTCAAGATTTGAATTGAAGATAAGAGATAGGAGGAGACGACAAAATAAGAATTGTTCCTCGTCTATATACGTGGCCTGATGTATGCTAGCACATCAAACAAAACAGAAAATAGAAGGGTTACGGTCAGAGGAGTAAGGAAGATGATGAAGATGGCACATGAGTAGTGAAGGTACGTGAGTATAGTCATTACTCAAAAGGGAAAATACAAAAGTTAGAGGACCAGCTGACCTTCTTGCGAACACGGAGCAAACCTGTTTTTAACGGCTTTACCTGGCTTTCTTCTAAAACAAAATCAAGCCAAAGACCAAGGACAATATACAACAGCAAGGCAGACGAACTCTCGAACTATGAATTGACAAACAACAACTCAATCTTATATACGAGAGCAGCATGAGATGACAAGTTGGGAACCCACTCAAAAATGATAGTAAGAGCTACCTGTGAATGGGAACAAAATTTGGAAAAGCATATATCATCAGAGAAAAGTTTGCAACGAGACGAACAAGTTGAAGACTTTTTTATGAAAATGGATTTCCGATGAATACAATTGAAACTTTGATCGCATTGTTGGAATTATGAAACCAGATGTATTTCATATTCGGCATAGAAGAGTTCTGGTTATTCAGCTTTATCTTCATCTTTCCTTCAGATAATCATGAATGGCTTATCTCCATACAATTAGAATAAAAAATGGGTATTCAAGTTTTGAAATTTAAATTTGCTCGTTTTTTCCTACTCGGATCTGCAATCGGAGGGAGTTGTCTGCCTCATGTACTCCTTCACATCATTATCACAATCGGAAGAACAATGAGGAGACGGCATTGTAAAAACTGAATAATTGCTTTTACTGATCGGTGTTCCTTGGAAAATAAACATCTGTAGAAGATTGAGTAATCCAATGGGTATATCTGGCACTTTGTCAACTCACAAATGTCAAGGAGGTATTCTTGTCCTCTGATAAGACAGAAAGTAGCGAGATCTAGTTGCATACCATTCATTTTCGAAGCAAAAAAAGCCAAAAGAAGAAGGAACTGATAGATGAGGCTTGCAGTCAGGAATAGAATGAAATTACAAACGAAAACACAAGTTTGCCAAAGACATGAGTGATAAAAAGAAGAAAAGGACGTTTATTATCGCTCCGGTTATTGGGATTTCTCGGAGACGATAGAAGAAGAGAAGCATTCATATCTGGTGGCAAGATGTGGACAGCTAAAATGCTTAAAGCCAAACAGGATAATTATGAAAATTACTCATTGTTATGACGTTTAGATGAACTTCATACAGTATTTTATGGGGCATTGAGATTTGAGATTGAACATGAAAATTGGCCAAAAAAACAAAAAACTTGGTCAGTGAGGAACTAAAATAACGAAAAGAAAATTATCTCGCTAAATATTTATTTCTAAACATCAATCTATTTCTTAATATTATTCTAACTACTTTATCTCATCTCAATCTTCTACGAAAGTAGATTATGTTTGACGGAAGCCACCCTGTACATCGCCCAATACCTTAGGGGATTTTGATAAGTGAAAATGCAACAGAGTATGTGACAAATAAAAAAAAATAAAAACAAATCGAGATCTCTCACCCAACACGTCGAGCATTCAACTTGTCCATTGAAATAGACAATAAAATATTTATCCTTCACATCAATTTCATGCAAAATAAGTATGGAAAACCAGAGAAAAGTTTAAAATCTAAAAAAATAAAAACAAGAAGATGAAGAAGAAGAGAAAGGGGGAGGAGGAGGAGGAGTAGAAGAGAGATCTCAATTCTTGCAAATGGAAAACATTCTAAAAATTTAGTTTTTTTGGTTCCAAAAGCCTCCGTTAATTATATTCGCAGCTTGCGAGGAACAACTGCTCCTTGCGTCACTCACTACTGAAATGGTTTTTACGGATCTCAGTTGGCCGCGCATCGATAGGAACGTATCCGACAGGCTAGGGTTCGAAAACCGAAGAGTCACGCAAATGAAAATATTTTTTTGTAAAACAAAAGTAGGGAATATTGAAAATAAAACAAAACATCAGCCGGAAACAGATTAACTATTAAACTTTCTGAGAACGTTGTCTTAGTTTTCGGAATGGATTTCATATACCCTAATATAGAAAATAGATGAGAATGTTGTTGAAAAATGGAAAAGAATACATAAATAACTGGTCCATATATGCACATGAGAGTATCATGCATGCTTAACTACAGCTACTCATTACTTCATTCCTCACAGACTAACAGAGCTATGTACGCAGGTTAAATATGTGTTTCTGTAGTTTCATGTATTCATTCAATTAGATTACTTGTGAGAATACTTTGAAATAGTACTTTGTCATACTGCTTGGCTCATGGTTGTATTGTGTAATAACCTTGCTGATCATTTGAATTCTGGTAAGGAAGTACAATCCGAAAAGACTGGCTCCACTGACTCTTCTAATCACACATCATCTTACCTATGATCTGTACTTTGTCTACTTTGAATGAACTTATCTAGTTTTCTAAAAAGAAAACTAATAATAATAATGAGTCATCATAATGATGTAGAAACCTTCTAACCTTAGTGTTTTGCAATCATTCAGGACGTATAAGGCCAATTCTAGAAACGTGACCTTAGGTTGAAGACGACATAGTTCTTCGGTTTGTCAAGAAAGTAAAGCATTTCAAAGAAATTTTTGTTTCCATAAATATCAACCAGTTTTCAATACAATATCCATTAGTATCATTTCTCTGAACCACATTGAAGGATATTCTGAGAAAAAAATTTCGGAAAACTTCAGAAAACAATTGCAATTAAACGAATATTAACAACATCATACTCAGGACACCGACAATACACATCCAGCTTGTGGGCGAAGAAGATACCAAAGATCTAAACTTAGCAATTCAAAAATAATTGTCCATTCCAATGTTCAATTATAGTGAGACAACGCGAATGGAAAACCTGCCAAGGTTCAAAAAAGCAAGAAACGTAATAGTTCTTAGAACTATATCATAACTTCAGCAGGAAATGTTGTTTTATTTTTGAAGATTATAGGAGAGACAAGTCGTCCTTCTCAACTGACTGCTTGGTCAGAAGACCTTCGAGATGATAAAAACACCAAATAATTTTTTGCGAAAATCATCGGGTATTCACCTTACGGAACAAAAGAATCAACTCGGCCAATTTAAAACAATTCCATTCTTTTCTTCCCGCTTTAATTGATCGGAATTGTTGTTCGGCTAACAGTTCTCCACAATAAGTGAAGAATCAGATTGGATGATCATTGGCCTAATAGATTTCAAGGCTCATTCTGATGTCTGTTCACCAAGTTGATATGATTCGAACTATGAAATATCTTTCATCTTCTACGATGATATCATCGTAATTCCCCGAACTGGACGAGGGTTTACCAATATATAAAGGCCTCTTTTCCAGAGACCAAGCAAGCAAGTTAACTACTGCAATCAGCTACCTAATCAAGCATGCTTTCTCATCTTCTTCTCGTTCTCATCGTCGCTCTCATCTGCCTCTCCCTCACTGAGGCTTGGGGATACGGAGGATATGGTGGATACGGAGGATACGGCGGATACAGACCATACAGAGGATTCCGTTGTAAGTTTCCGTTACATTAGCATCCCTAGATCTTCGTGATCGATGTGGACATCTCTATAATTCTTCATGCTCAATGGAAACTCATCAATATACTTTCAGCTTACGGTGGATACGGAGGATACGGAGGATACGGAGGATACGGACACCACCACTACCCATACTATGGATAGATTCTTCATTACTACTTTGTCCATAATAAATCCGACAGAAAATAACTCATTTGAATAAATATGCTGTATCTTAATCTTTTCTTTATAACATCTCCCAACCTTGGAAGGCAGCATAGACCACATCATACTCAGAAACTAGCACTTTCGCATAGGACAAATAACAAGTGCGTCTCAGAGAATGAAAGCTGCATTTCCAGTGCCTGTGCTGTTGACTACTAAAGTTCCACATGAGATCGGCTGTACAATACAAACCCGAAGACTTTCAGATAGATAATACGAGCAGAGCTCAAAAAAATTAAAACATATTTGTGCACGAATTTTATTAGCACGTAACATTTTCAACAACAAAGAGATATACATAACCGATGGTTTTCGAGACAGTGGTCAACTGAGTTCAGTATCAGACTTGCATAAAAAACCGGAAACTTATTAGTACGAAACAAGCTCTGAGTTCATTGTGAGGTCTAATAAAGCAAACAAAAAGGCGATTTTCATCACAAAAAAAAACAAAAAATATAAACGTCACAACGTCTTACCAGCGATCATAGCTACCGCCACCACCCCCCATATTACCGGCGTTTCTGAAAATGAATTATTATACACGATCGAAGGCTTGACCAAATTTTACCTTGATCTCTTTCCTCCGTAATCATCACCACCGTGGTAGTTTCTCTTGAAACCACCACCTCCACCTCCCCATCTACTACGATTGTTACCGTTTCCTCCCGCTCTTCCAGCGAGATCATACAGTTGTTGAGGAATAGTTTGCTTAGCTTCAGTCATAACTTTAATCAAGTCACGAGCTTTAGAAGCATTCTGATGGGTGAAGAAGGTGTAAGCAGTACCCTGGAAGAGAACTGTTAGGAAAAAACAAACTAAATTGGTTATACCTTCTGTTCGCGTCGACCAGTACGTCCTATCCTGTGTACGTAATCTTCAGAGTTGTTAGGATAATCATAATTGATAACGAATTTGATATCATCAACATCTAAAAACAAATCAGTTTTCAGAGAATAAAGAGGGTAACAGTAGATTTGACTCACGTGACACACACTATAGACCATCTTATTTGATGAATGCGAACAGAGGAGCAAAGGTGGCTGAGACTCGATGGAGCACCAACTTTTCCAAAGGAACGAAAATCATATCGTTTCCATGTGGCACTCCAGCAAGAATAAGGTCATGCTCTCCAGAGAACCCAATCCGGGATCAAATAATGAACACGACCACACAGGCCATAACCGCAAGTGCGCAGAGCAAAGAATATACTCTATTCACTACTATGCCCCTCCATACAAGAATTAGTGTGCACCACCGCAAAAGCTAATGAAATCAGAATACTTATTCGACAAACGATGTTCAGTCGTAACTAAAGCTATCAAAAAGAACATCTGAATCAGAATGATGCCTGATCCTGCCGAACAAATAGGAAAATCAAACTCACCCAATCCTCTGGCAGCAACATCTGTGGCCAAAAGAATAGGAGTTTTACCGCTCTTGAACTCTAAAGCGATGCAAGACAGTTAGACAAAAGCATTTCATCCTTACCTTGTAAAACCCAATCACGTTCTCCCTGATTTTTATCTCCATGAATACAAAGTGTAGGCCATCCATCTCGTCTCATCCATCGAGTAAGCTCGTCAGCTTTCCTCTTTGTTTCGACAAATATAATAGTCTTACAATCGGGCTGAAACAGAAATATGAGACTTTTCTGTCGTAACTGTTGCTACCTGTCCCATGATATCATTCAATAATTCCATCATTCTAGGTTGCTTAGCACTCTCTTCTAAGACATCTACGCATTGAGTGATATTGTGGTTAGCAGAAAGCTCAAGAGATCCAACGTTAAGGAATGCAGCATCCTTTTGGAAATCGGATGCCATTGAACGAACTTCTTTAGGCCAAGTAGCCGAGAACATTAAAGTTTGACGGTCAGGCTGAAACATGGAAATAATTTAACAACTTTTATTGAACGGCTTACTCTGATTTGACCGATAATTTTTCTAATCTGAGGTTCGAAACCCATATCCAACATTCTATCAGCTTCATCAAGAACGAGATAAGAGCACCTGACACGATATATATGATTACATCTTTTCGAAAATTTTCGTTTACCTCTTCATGGTGGTTTTTCCAGAATCTAAGAAATCCAATAAACGTCCAGGTGTGGCGACAATTATGTCAACACCTCGTTCCAAGTCTCTAGCTTGGGGACCCTTGGAAGCACCTCCGAACAAGCAAGTCATGCTCATTCCAAGAGCTTTGCAGAAATCGATAGAAACCTGGAATAAATGATTGAGAAACGACAGAAAAACTAAGAATTACCTCCTGCACTTGCTGAGCTAATTCTCTAGTAGGTAAAAGAACAAGAACTGATGGCCCCTCGAAACGAGCACGAGGAGTTTGCTTGGTTGTGTGAAGAATAGCAGGAAGCATAAACTATAATTTTTTAAATGAGGAAAGGAGCAGAAGTATTTGAATCTTACAGCTAAGGTCTTTCCAGATCCAGTTTTAGCGATAGATACAATATCTCTGCCACTGGAAGCAATGGGCCAGGAAATCGATTGAATAACAGTAGGTTTTTGGAACTTGGCGTATAACAAGTCAGTGAGCTCTGGTGGGAAATTAGCTTCATTGAACTCGAATACTGGACGAGGTATTCCTCTTCCTTCCAAGGTAACTTGGTTTTTAGTAATCCATTGGTCAATCTCATACTGCTCTCTCCTTGTGACAGAAGCGCATTCATGATAAAAGTTCTTTTGAATTGGCTTCAATGCCTCTCTTGACCAATCGATATCGCGAAGCCTGCTACCAGGATTTGACGATGCTCCTCCTCCACGGCCTCCTCCGCCGCCTCTGTTGTAGCCACCTGAAATAGCCTGTTAAAAAGACTACCTAAAATATTGAATACCTCCGCCATAACCGCCACCGCGGCCACCTCCAAATCCGCCGCCTCCGCCACTTCCGCCACCATAGCCTCCACGAGAGTCTCCTCCACTGCTTCTTAACAATTATACATATAAAAAATTAGATAGAATCAAGACTTACTGTCTATAGTCTCTCATTCTCAAAAAGCGTTGGAATGAAGTTTTTTGATCCACAAGTTGATGCTCCGATCTGCGAGTATATTTCTCAAGCGGCCCTTGGTGAGCTGAGCGAAAAAAGGAAGTAGCAACTTTAGTTAAATTTAACTTTGCAAAAGTTCTAGTTAAGCCAAGAATCATCAAACAATATAGTATTTCAAGAGACAGGAGACAACACAACCAGTCAATATGCTAAAAAAAAAATAAAAGAAATCCTAAAACAGTGCGCACGCAGCAGGCGCTCACGGGAATTTCCGCGCGGGACCAATAAAGCAGTCGATTTTTTGTACTTGGTCATGTTATGCAAGGCTTATTGGTATACGCTGAGACGGATCTATAATTTCAATATATTATTTTCAACTTCAAAGGAGACTGTTCTTGAACATTAAAAACAAAATGAAAATCTTTCTAGAATAAATTGATTGAAAATGATGACAATAGCCACATAGTATAAAACAGGATGACATAAATTTCGCAATTCAGTCGCGCAAAATCATCATTTATAAAGATTTTTCACAAGCTAAATCATTCTATTTCATATATACACCGAAGTCTCTCGATCATTCTCTCCTTCTTTCTTTCTTCTATATATTTTCAAGTATTCTGAGTCATAATCATAATTAAGATGGCTGAACTGCCTCATATTGGAAAACATTGCGGAGCGTCTTTGTGCCATCGCTTAGGTATTTTTGCTCTTCACTGTAATCATCTTCAGATTTTGTTTAAGATTTTTTGCCTGTCAGATGTGATGCTTGCTCTGGAACTTATTGGTAAGGTTTCATATTGTGCTTATATTATATTGCTCTCGTACAGTATCGATCATTTCACTTATGATGGACATGGTTGCTCACAAGGATACCAAAAGGTTGTACTATTTCATGGAATTTAGTTCTTATTGTAAAATTCATTTAAGAATGTACAAGTACCTGTATGCCCTTTGTGTGATAAGCCTGTTCCTACCCCGAAGGGAGTTCAGCCAGATTTTCAAGTTAGTCTTATAATAATCACTGTTTTTCATATCTCCTTTCTAGGTTAACGAACATATACAAAATAACTGTGAGAAAATTGCCAAGCCTAAAATCTTTACCAATAAATGCTCATCGAAAGGTTGTAAAAAGCGTGAAGTATGTTTCAAATCGTTTTCATTTCCACCATGAATGATTCAGCTTGTTCCTGTTACGTGTCCCAAATGCAAATTAAACTTCTGTCTAGCTCATCGACATGAGAAGGATCACGAGTGTGGCTCAGTTTCTTCGATTTCATCTCCAGGGTAAGAAATAACGGGGTTATGTTCATTTATCGCTTTTTTTAGAATGGCCGCAATGAAGAGAAATGCAAAGTCATGTTCTACCGAAGCTCGAGAAAAACAAGTAAGCCAAGCCATTCAAATTATCAATCGCTGTCCTTATATGAACTAACATTGAATAACTCGTTTTTAACTCATTTATATATTTTTTTTGCACAACCGCTCTTTGCGCATAGTGTTCTCAAAATGAATATTGCTGTCTAGACGCACGCCTAATTGAGTCACGTGGCGTGAGAGCTTCCATATAAAAATAAAAAATTGTAATTCCCTATTACGGATATCGTTTTCAGATGTCATTAGACGAACAACTTGCTAGATCTCTTGCAAACATGGGTAATAACTCATCAGGAATGGACCAGGATAGACAAGTTGCAGAAAGAATGCAATGGGAGGAATACGAGTAAGTTTCAGTCTGTAAATGCAAAGTATATCTGCTGTTCTTCAGACGAAACAGAAATAGAAGCCGGCCCAGTCAAACAGTCAGTGAACGGTGCTGTATAAACTAACCTCTCTATATCATGTGAATGAGAACATGCCTGTCATATAATTTGTAGATAATTCTTTCCTTGCACTTACTATCGACTAGTGTTTTTTGGTTTTCTTCTGTGATACTTTTTCAAGCTTTATTCAAAATAAATGTTTGCAAAACCGTCAGTTGTTGAATTTCTTCCTTCCAAAAAGACATAAATTTGATCACGCACCGCTTCCAGAAATATTTATGACATCAGCTGTTTCCCTCTTTATGAAAAGGAAACGTAGTTTGTTTACCGTCTGGAATGGGATCATAATTCATTGAGAGTGAAGGATGAGCTACCTCAGTTGGTGACTAATTGGATAAAATTGAAAGACGCGTTTAATGATCAGATATTTAGTGGAGCAGCAGATTTCATCTTTCGAAACAACTGGTTGTGGTTGCATAGGATGGGTTCTAGGTTTCGAACAAGTGATTTTACATGTTCTTTTCTTTGAGAAACTCCGATGTCAGTTGTTTTGCTTAACGGCTTCTCTAAAGTCTAACCCGTAGTAACATAGGTCTTTGTCTTTTCACTATTATCCCATACTCTTTCTTGATGATCCGTTAAATAATCAATTTTTTCTTGAAATACATATTCTTAAAAACGATATTCCTCTTTCAGTAATTGTACAAAACTTACACTCGTATCTAGTATGGCTTAGTTATCAGAAAGTATGTATCGTCGACACTCAGATGAGATCCGCGAGCTGAGGAAAAGGTGTCGAAAATTTTTTATTTCCTCTATTGTTTTCTTATAGAGGTTTACCATGGCTTGCGTCAGCTGTACTGCTGCTACTTCTTTTAATATTTGGAATTTCCATCTTCATAGTGTTAGAGAATCAGAATTCAAGCAAAAAGAATCTGTTGTTTAGATGGAGACATGTATTCTACACATTCGTTACTTTTCCTAATTGTTTTTTACAGGGAAGTTTTGAAGATTATGATGAAGACGAAGGGAAGACAGGAAATGAATCTATCATATACATCACTCCTTTGCGGAAGCACGGAGAGTCTGATGAATTCAGCTCGAGTGAAGACGCTTACTTATTATTATCCTCCACGACAGACAGTTCATTTACGGCTCAGTCAACTTCGTCATCTATTGATATGGAAAATAATTTAATTTTATCAACGAGAGAAACAGCTGATGTTTCCACAGTTACAACTTCACTTCCCGTAGAATCCAACGGTGCATCCCCAACTTTTAGCGAGAATATCACCGAGGATGCTTACGTAGTACCTATTTCTCCTAAGACTTCTTCCACCCCTCTGGCACCCTCTGTAATGATTTCTAGTCAGCATCCAAATCATGATCTTGCTACGCATCAGCTTGAAAAAATTCTCCTTTCTACGACTTCATACTCTACTTCTACTGCGTCCCCTGAAACAAGTACCAGATATATAAGTACTACCGCATTGTTAACTACGACACTCCCAATAGTAACAACTCCGTTAACTTTCATTCCAACTCTTACTTCTACCGAAAAAGCTGTAGAAGTCGAACCAAAACTTGAGATGAGTGAACCCCCGGTAACAAATACAATCCCTACAAATCTACCGACCGATGGAAAACCTGACAAATCTGTCAAGTTTGATGTGTTCCCGATTCCAACCTCAACTTCCATACCAATCAATGACAGCTCGACGTTATCATATCCGAAAGCTGCAGTTTCTAGTTCTGATGAAAATTGTTCAGAAATCGGAAGGTTAGTCAAAATAAATAACTTCGAGTAACAGAATTTTTTCGTCCAGAAATATTCTTTTACGTGGAGGTAATTCCATTGATGCCGCTATTGCAACAGATTTCTGTATAGGGGCGATGCATCCCCATAAAGCTGGACTTGGTGGAAGTTCTGTCATGTTAATTTATCAGCCGTTTGTTTCATCATTGATAAATCGCCTCTAAGAATGTAATTATAGAGGTCTTAAACCTGTTGTTTTGAATGGCGTTGCAACATCACCCAGAAGTGCAACGTTCAATACATTTGCTTTTAATCCAATTTCATCTAAAAAAGGTTATTTCAAATGAGTTATAAGTATTCGGAAAGTTTAGGGTATTCATCCATAGCATGTCCTGGTAATTTGGCAGCTTTGTGGAATGCTTATAACCGTTATGGTTCTCGCAAACTGAAATGGCAGGACCTCATCCTACCCACGATCGACATCTTGGATAGAGGTTAGTTTTCCGTCTCCTGGTGTCGAACACTTCGTTTTCCAGGTTTTGAACCATCGGAAGAACTGTTCAGTGCTTTCAGCAGACTATTGACTGACCAAAAACTGGATCCGATCGTTAGGTTTCTTTTGAGTGTCCGTAAAAAAGATTACAAATATTCTATAGAAAACGATTAGGTGGTATTTTCGCAAATCGAACCATGTACAGAAATGACCCTTTGGCTCAAACTCTCCGGAAGTTAGCCTCTTCCCGTGATCCTTATCAATTGTTTTATCGTGGCGATGTTGCTTCTCAGATAACTCAAGAAATTAGAAGTCTGGGTAATTGAGACATACATTTTCTGCTCCATTCAACTCATTTGTAGGAGCAATATTAACAAAGCTGGATTTCATCAATTATGTTGCAAACATTGAAGAAGCTATAAGTATTAAGCTAGATGATGGACGTTCAGTTATCGGTTCCCCACCACCCATGACGTCATTGATCTCTCAGTTATCAATATCTCATATCATTAGTAACAGTCAACATTCCACTTTTACTACTTGCACCTTTCCAGAACAATCAAAACAAAATGCTAATTATAACGAACAGCAAATGTTGTCTGACTTATCGAGTTTCCAAAGGAAATGGAAAGATTTGGGATCAGTCATTGGTATGTCATCCAAATAAAATCTTTTTTTGACATCAAATTTAGCTGATCCCACATTCTTATTGAATATACGTGGTACTAATGAAGAAATCACTGAAGATTTTCTAACCGTTCTAAGAGAGAAATATGGTCAGAAGTTGGATTTCAAGAAACGGCGGAAACGATCGAATCCCAAGACGGTTTGTTTTCAAATCTCTCAAAGTCAAGAAAATGAAATTTGTAGGAAAATATAAAACGGGTCTCATCAAACATTCATGTTATTGATAGTGAAGGGGTTGCTGTCTCTTTGACGTCATCGCTGAACGGAGAGTTCGTGTGAATCGTGAAAAAAGTTCTTGATCTCTGATTTAGATTCGGAGCACAACGCCTAAGTAACCGATTAGGGTTCTTTTGGAATAACTTCATGGCAGAATTCTCTTTCGGAGAAACAGAAACAGATGATTGGAATTCTGTTCAGGGCTCCAAGAAACCCAGGTCATCATTATCTCCAATAATGATTATAAGTAATGGTCAAGTAAGGATGAATATGAAATCTCATAATGACTGAGCTTATTGCTAGATTGAATCCATGATAGGATTATCAACTTCAGCTTGTTTCGACTCTATTCTAGCTCAGGTTAGTTCAAACTGCTCTCAGGTTTTACATTTTGAGTAATCAGGTCGCTTTAAATTACTTGTTATTGGATACTAAAAAATTGCAAACTTTCCCGAATAGCTGTGATCTGTCGTCTTCTGCCGTAAGTCCACCTCTTGCACTGGTCAGCACAGAACGAATTTTATAGGAATCAGTGAAGATGACAATTGAGAACGTGAACGAAATCAGTTTATTATACAAAAGAGACAATTTAATTTATTCTGTATGTAACGTGAAAGGAAATTCAAAATGTTCAGCTGGTTTTTAACTTCCGGAGAGATGGCGACGCGCACAACCGCTCTCAATCACAGAAAATTTGAAAATGATATCATCCGTGTGATTTCTTGTTGTTTTTTGATTTTTTTCCGTTTTCCATCAACACTTGAGTTTATAAATAAGTTTTATGAAGGAGATCAATAAGTATCAAGAAAGACTCTGGAGGATTCTAAACCCCATACAAGCGTGATGGCAATTTTCCTCTTCCATCGGGAAAGTATGGTTGAATAGGTACTGGGACGCCATTATCATCCACTAGCACATTTTGTTGTCTTCCAATAATTGGGTCACCTCTAAAGCTTCCAATTAAATCAATCTGGAAAAGGTTAGTGAGTAAAAACCATAAGCATATGATTTGCATACAGCTTTAGGAGGTATCGGAGCATCTTCATCGTTCAATTGATTATGACGCTCGATTTTCAGATACCTTGGGACTTTCAACTGAGAACTGCTGTATAAGCGTTCTAATAAAGATTCAGAGTAAACTAAAATAACTTCATTCGGCTTCATGCGTTAAGGGTCCGCAAACCTGTGGGGAAAAAAAAGAGGAAAATGAAGAACTGGCGTGAAGGCATGGATATACTTCTGAAAAAGCCCAAAATTAGTTGATCATAGAGATATTGACACGGAAGACAAACAGAACACGACTGAAATGAGTAATGAAGAAAACAAAAATGGGGGGGGGGGAGAAAATTCTAGTCAGATACGTCAACTGATAACCGGTATAAAGAACACGTTTTTACATTAAATTTTACACAAAATATGGGTTTATTGAAATGATTGCATTTACATAAAGATTCTTTTTGATTTCATTAATTCAACAATGATTTCTCTCGAAATTTTTTTATTGTTATAAATAGGAATGGATGATGGCAGCAGCCTTTGTCATCATGTCAACGTCAACAAAAAAATGAAACAGAAAGATGAGAAGTTTGAAACATGCGGTGAGACAGGTTGATGGAAGGGTTCAAAACGACAATCTGAATAAAACTTCCTTTCAGTTGGTAACATGCTGATCTCAGAGATTTTATAATGAAAGCTTTTTTAGGTTATTGGGCACTGGTCATATGACGTCAATTCTTCTTTCCCATCACGCTTGTTCTACAACTAGTGCTTCTCTTTGATTTGCTAACGTACTCTTCCGTCCTATATCAGATATTATAAATGTTTTCTTTAACTATGTAATGATTACCGAATATTCTTTGTTCTTTAGGTGGCATGTGCTCTATCAGTGGTAATCCTTTGGTTTCAGGTAACAAACATTCGAATGCAAACATGTCAACTAAGGAGAACATCAGCATCACACAGTAAGGCAGAGCCAACCAGTAATCTTGCTAAAAAAATGTTTTTCAGTCAGCAAGTGCTGTGATATCTGCATTACCAAATAGAAAACAAATGGAGATATAATAACTCCTGCTCGATTCCATAGTTGAAGGAATGAGTATCCTAAGTTTCTAACTGGTGTTGGGAACAGTTCAGTTCCGACAATTCCATCAGCAATATAAATCTGAATGCAGAAGGTGAGTTGTAATACGTTATTGGGTGCAAGAGAACCTGTGATGTCATCGAACTTGCAATAAGAATTGCAATACTGATTTGTTCCTTCAGGGGGTGATTCAAATCTGATATAATTTCCTTTGAGTGTTTTGATTCTACCTATGTATTACCGAAAAGGTATGCAAACACCACCAGACCCAATGAACCCAAAACTACCACATGACCAGATGTGTGAATGAATTTTCTTCCTACTTTTTTAAACTTGAGATCAGCATACCCGAAGCTCAAGTTGCAGGCATACCTAAATTATAGAGTTGCTTAAACAGCTATACTTATATCTGGAACCTCATGAGACCAGTATAAACCGAATTCCAGTATAAGGAACCACTAAGCTTCTCCATATTGAACATGATTCCATAGTTTATGATGGATGTTGAGAAACTGTAAAGCGGTATGAATATATTTTCTGTACAATGAAGTTTACTAGCTGTATGCCAACACGATAGTGGTTAAAGCAAGCTTCCAGGTGCAGAACAAGTGGTAATATGAATACTGTCTTCTTTTGGCATTAGCTTGTACTGCTAACTAAAATATTGAGCTTGTTATTTGGATCTTATTAAAGAACTCACTTGATATTCGTTGAGCAAAACAGCTTCGAACTCTTCATCCAACAAGTGCTCTTGGTTCGAAGTTTTCAACTGTTTTTTAATGATTTCTCGTGCCTCGTCAACTCGACCCTTAGTTACTAACCATCTAGGGGATTCATGAATTAAGAACCTTAACACGTATTAAGTTACTTCGACTCGCGTGATTTTTAATTTGTCTTCATCTAATTTTTTTCTAATTTACACACATCGCGTCAAGTCACGTGAATTCCACGTAAGTGTGTACCGCGATGAAAATCATTTCCATTGAAAGTGAGGCCAGAGAACGGTTGCGTCATGGGGTCGGTCAAAAAAAAATTTATGTTGAAACTTACAGACAGAAGAGGATTGGTGGAACTGCCAGAAGGGCAGTCACGTTAGCCATCATGTCCCAAGATTTACTCAAATATGCAATCAAAGCAACCAGAGGTATGTTAGGAGACCTATGAAAGGAATTCCTTGTTAGAGTTCAAACACAGTTCTTACCAAGTAATAGCCATGTTAATCCACATTCTATGTTTTTTAGGAATATTCTCCATAACATATACATTTGATACACTAGGCATGCGTTCATCAAATGTACTATACTGTCACCTTACCTTACACTTCCACCAGTGAAGAAGCCAACAATAGTTCTCAAAACTGTAAACTGTAGAAGACTTTGTGAATGTGCTACCATAATCCAACCGATTGCCATACCAGTCATAGACACAAGCATAGACTGAAGATTTGAGAAATATGATCATCAATAATAGTTGATTGCTCACGATTTTACGTCCAAACGTATCACTCAATTGACCGAATACTACTGAACCACATAACACTCCGAACATTTGAACGGATATACTGTTTTTCACAGTTTTAGATGTTTGACAAAAATATTTCCACTAAATATTCGAATAAATATCATAAAAACTCTGTTTTCTTCACCTCAACATTGACAGAACGAAACTGGTAAGCTAATTCGGTTTGCTGACAACTCATATTCTGATAAAGCAAGCAAATCTCTTTGTCTTCTAAGTCGGCAGGGAATGACTCGCCGTTGCAACTTTTTACAGTTGGAGAAGCACCTATAAGAGGCAGTTAAGATAGGTGAGGCTTGTTGATGATGTTTACCAGCGTATACCATGTAAAACTGAGATGTAACTTGAATAATGATTATCAATTCGGTAAAAATACAAATAAATATGACATATCGACCGATTTGAACATAGTCGTCAAGTCTCTTTCTTGGTTCTAATCCCATATTTCTGAAGAAAATAAAATATTATTGATAAAATTTACACGGAATAAGATGAATTATAAAGTAAAAATGAATTATTGTTTGAGACCTTCGTTACAACAATTATTTAATTGGGTAAATGATGATTTCTCGTGTCAAAGAATTAGCAACGATATCATATAAGAACTAGTTAGATGGAAATGTGAACGGTACAAAAATTTGATAATTGATGTCTTTCAATAAAATATTACAAAAGAAACTTCAAAGATCGTACTGATATACATCTGAAGAAAAGTTGGATGATTAGGTTCGATCCAACTTTCGCTCTACTGACAGCTCAGCTCTCTCTCTCTCTCTCTCTCTCGATGCATTCGCTCATCAGAAGTTATTCTGCAGCACTTCTGAAGGCATATAAGCACATATATAAGGTACATGCATTGTCTTTCATTAGTTGAAAACGAACAATGTTTAACCTTGCAATTATGGAAATTCATTGCGGACAGGTTATGTGAAGAGATTAGAAGGTGGAAAGCGAAATAAGGAAGATAAAACGAAAAAGAGAAAAGAGGAGCGGCGATCGCAAATCAGAAGATTCAATTTGAAGTTCAATTTAGGTACATGATGCACTAACATATGTATACGAAGAATATTCAGTTTCGAAGACTTGTTTAATAGATAGAAAAGCATTCAGTTCAAAGAATATCAATTACGTTTGACTGAATGGAATGACTGTCTAAGGGTGGACTGTACTTCAACTGTCATACTTTACAGCATTCCTTGTTTTCTGTAACATTTTTTCGAAAAATTTTTACAAAAAGGAAAAAAATCCTTTGATCTTTTGAGTTTGAACGTTGAAATTGTTTTTCTTCAACGATTGCCTTAATATAGGCATCAAAGTGGGAGGGTTGAGTTGACTGATGTTATGCAATAACCACACAATTGATTGGAAGTAAAAAATTATGAAAAATGATTACATCTCTATATCATACGATGATGATTCTTCTTCTTCTCCTTCTTTTTTTTTCAAACAAAAGTTATCAAATACTTTCAATTGCCTTTTGGTCAAAACTTAATTCGATTATGCTCATTCAAGGTCAATGCCAACATCTAATGTCATGTCAGACATCAAACTCTTCAATGAGCTTTTGTGTATAATTCGATTGAAATATATTAACACTTGAAGTTTGAATATTCTGTCTAACATGTTCTTGCAAAGAAAGCATGAGGGAAACCCTGTTGAAGACGTGATTTGAGGAAAAAATAATAATAGTCTACGTGAAATGACAAGATTTGCATGTATGTTTTCATAACCAGTCTAATAGTCTAAGAGCTTAATCGAAAGCATATTTCAACAAAAAAGTATTTAAAGGCATTCTGTCTTTTTACTTTCTATTCTGATGATTCCATATATCATTTTTGCTTTCTTATTCTCGTCAGCCCATACGTGTGCACCTTCAATATCTGATAAAGGTAACTGTCGCTTAAGATATGTATGGACAATCAGTTTTTTTTTTAAGTAAGACGCAAATCTATCTATGAAGCGACACATTCTCTTGCAGGTATCTGAATAGTTCATGTTATGCTAACTTTCTCCCCCATAATTATAGGAGGGCGACTGAAATTTCATGCGACAACATTGCCTTCAATACTGCAGAAGGAAAACATTATAATTAAATCTTCAACTAAACCATTATCCACAACAAGTACAACTAAGCCAATTCTTTCGACTCAACTCTCAACTACAACGTTTCATACAACGGAAAGGATTGAGACACATATTTTCCCTAAAGCTACAAGCCTTCCAGTTGAAGCAACTACAATCGAGGGTAAAAACATTTTTATTTCTTCTCACAAATGATTTCTAATGAAGGAATAGTAAAAAATGATGTTTGTGCTTTGAAAGATATAGGAAGCGAGATGCGTAACATTCCCGTCAATATGGATGAATCTGAAGCTGTTATAGAGTACGTTGTCTTTGATGAACTATAGTAGTTCTAACTTCTAGGTTCTTAATTAATACACAGCATGAGCAGACTGCTATACTAACGTGTAAAGGCCAGAAAGGGAAAATGACCATCATAGAAGTATATAAAACGAACATTTGCATACAATCTTTACAAATTGGTTTTCTCAGATATCCAGTCAACCTTCATTACGCGATGAATCAGTTGAAGAAGATGCAAGTCTCATTGTAATTTGTAATAAAGGTCAATGGTTCTCAGAAGATGGACTCAAAGTCATGAACATCAATTGCTATCACATAAATTCATATCTTGAACAATTTGAATAAAATTATTTATTACTTTTTAATAAAAATTTTGATTATCTAAAACTTATTGCTATTCATATCATATGTTTCTAGAACAGGCTGCAGCTACATGGCAATGCTTTGCGAGTATTGGAATGAAAACATAAACATCATGAAAGTCAAAATTAATATGAATTAAATTATAAATTGAATAAATTAATAGAAAGTGAAATAGTTTGAGACCTTGTGAAACCGTTCAACAAAGATACTACTAATATCCATAGTTCTTCATATCTATTTGAATGATAGGCATTTTATGCTTCTTATCGTCTTCATCATCCGAGCTTGAGTCATTCGGCTCATTTTCGGGTCTTTCAGGTAGTTCAATGCGATAACTGTAATTATACAAGTTTTAATATTTCTAAACATGTTACATACCCATCATGCATTTCAGCCACAGTGTTTGGCTCAAATGTAGGCTGATGAAGCTCAGGTACAACATTCATAACTTCATCTGGATTTGTACTAGGATCCATTGTGTCAACTTCTAAATCTGCACACTGCACATAATCTATTTCTACCTGAAAAACGGAACGTTATATGGTTCGAATTGGATAGGAATGCAACCGATCTGTGAACGGCTCAGTGGAGTGAGAGCTTACCTTGTACTGACACTTTGCTACGTATCGAACAAATTTTTCCACTCGATCTGAATCTTCATGCTGTTCAACAGACACTGACCGAACAACAGTATTGGATACTGTTGCTAGTGGCATTGTGAAGTCTACATCACAACGGGGGAGGAAGGTCTCTGGCATCAAGTCAAAGGAGGATAACTCGAACCGGCATCTTCAAATTAATCATTTAAAGTTGTTAGAATATTCAACAACGTACTTTAGTAAATGGCTCTTATAAGCAGCATGATGCTTTTCTGGTAATCGAGGAATTCTCCACACCAACGAACGGTACACGTGTTCATATTTAGCTTCACCTATAGCTACTTCAATGAGGTTATGGTCGTTCGATTGAACCGCCCCTAATAAACGATCTTTTAAATTCTGAAAAAGACACCAGATTACGATTTGATCACATCATATCAAATACCTGAACTTTTCCTGGTTTTAATTTCTTAGAATGAACTGAGCCTACACCCCAGTGTCTTTCTTCACTGAAAAGAAATGATTTCAAAGACTAGTAACAAGTGAAAGAAGAAGAACATACCGGAAAATATAAATCCAAGCTTCAGGTATAGGAAACCGAATTGCTACATCTTCACAAGGAATTTGTCTTTTTGTGCTCTTGCCTCCTTTACTTCTTTCCACTTGAGCAGACGCCATTAACTCTATTCTGATCTCAACCTGTGAAGAAATAGATGTAAACCTTTGAATTTTGAAGTTGACACACCTTTGATCCCGCAATTTTCATGATACTTTTTATGTTCAAGAACTTCTCTCTGTTTTTAGGTGGACGAACACGGAAACGCATGATCTGATTAAATATGTATGATACGAAGACATACTGGACAAATTTACCTCAAAGAAGCATCCGTCAGGAGGGCTTAACCGGATTACTTGTTCAGAATCAAACGAAGACTGGTTGACAGTGTTATGAAACTCTAAATTTTCAAAACGAATCCATCTTTCTGTGTACATTGGTAGAATATCTTTTCGTCTCACAATTTCCTATAAAGCACAAAAATGTGTTCTCATAGTTATCAAAGATGGTAATACCTTTCCTTGACGTCGTCGATCATTTAATCCTATTTCAAGGAAAGGTGACCCTGTCACAAAGGCTAGACAAAACAATCTAACACGGGCTTTCTGATCAGAAACAATTCCATCTTTGTCAACATATGCGGAATATTCATCATAACAATGAACCTATACGAAGCATCAGAATGAGGGTTTATGTTATCACTGATTTACCTGCACTTCATCTTGTTTGTAATTAGGTTTACTTTCTCTCTTCGCTTGACATCGGAAGAGAACGTCTTCGATGGCATAAACAAAAGACCGGAGCTCGTGTGCATGTAATGATCCAAACTTGAGCAATACATTACACTGAGCTGAGTGTTCAAGAGGTAATCCATATTTGGTTACATGTCCATCAACTAGTCTTGATATTTGTCCTGGAAAAACGAACGCTTTACTTTGCAAGTATTTAAAGCTCAACCTGGTCTGATTCCTACTTTCTCCTTATACTGTACTTGCTGTAGCTTTACAGTATGAATTTTACCATAAATGTCATAAGCTTGCAGCGTGGTGTCAGATAGCGAGTATGTGGCTTGTAAATGCAATTCCTGAGAAAAATTATTTCTATTGAATAATCAGTGTTAATATACTTGAAGAGGCTTTGTATCACTCCTATTGTTGAAAAGAATAAGAACATTGCCTTCAAGCTTTACGAAGCAAGGCTTCCAACATCTCTCAGCCATGAAAGACTTCTTTTTGATCGGATGCCTAAGAGGTTATAATGACGAAATTTTCATAGTTAGGCTGATAACTTACCTAACCATGAGCTCCCATCCATCATTGTCGCTTTTAGGCAGGAAATCTTCTAACGGCTGAGAATCATCTTCATCATAAAGAGGTGTAGGAGTACCATCATCTCCAACCTGAGAATATCAATGAAACACACTCAGAAAAAATATTGCTCACATTGCACTTGAAGTTATCCTCGAAACCTTCGGGTCTATGACTAACCGGGCTGCCACCCTCTGGTGTCGGAGAAGACAAACGCGATTGTCTGTAAAAATTCTAATATATAGAGAACCCAGACAAACGTAACCTTCCAAGGGCATAAAAGTCAACATCATCTTTTTCAGTACATTGCTGTTGAACTTCAGCTGCTTTAGCTTTTGCCGCAGCTACAATGTCTTCTACAGCATCAACGGCAAATGGATCGTAAGTCTAAATGTTGGTGTTGTATTGGAACCATGTAATAAGCTATCCACTTCATCAATCAGACTTCTATCAGGCGGAGCAAAAGGATCGATTTCAATGTCAGGCTTTTTCTCAATAATTTCCTTATTGCTGAAGAAACCGCTCTCACTGGGAGGAAGATCAGCTCCGAAATCATCCCAACCTACATTGACTGGTGCCGTATCATTACCACTAGGAAGTAAGCTGTGATGAGAAAACAAAAAAACAAATACTTGTCATCATTCACAACTGCTGGTTCCTTGGCATCTGTATCCGAACTTTCTACAGGACTCTCTTTATCTGACTCCCTGAGAAGAAACGAAATATAAGAACATTGAGAATGTAGAAACGCACTTGTTGTCTGACACGGGAGTTTCCGCTTTCTCTTCCTCTTCCTGTCCCTTAGCTGATGAGCTTTTTGCTGGTGCTGCCGGTGCGATACTTGGCCCACTGCTTAACTGTAATCAAACTCAGTCAAGAAAGCGACTAATAACGCGGTTTCACCTGCAAATTCATCTTGGCTGCAAGTTTTGCGGCTAATTCCTGTGCTGCTCTGTCCATATTATCTTCTTCATCTGGATCGAAAGTGGGTGAAGCAACTTTCTTTCCTATAATAATGATTTATAATGAATATTTGAATGTTCCAAACCTTGTTGCTTGAGTTTCTTCTTCAGTGTTTTTGCATTCTTTTGTTCTTCAAGCCTTTTTTGAATTTCACGTTGAGTTGCATTGTGTACATAACCCTGTTCGCCACTGAAATTAATTGATTGGAGGAAGTGAAATCAAACAAGATTCGCCATACCCAACTTCGGCTAAGTAGCTCTCATCCTTGATATCATTAGCAGCGGTTGTTTCACTCAGAGTTTTCAATTGTTCCTCAGTATTTTTAACAACAATATTCACCTGTGAGATAAAGGCTAACAACTTTTTTTTCATAATTCAAACTTTTTCTGTCATTTTCTTGAATGCCGTCCAAGCATCTTCTTCCTTTTCAGGTATATTAGCCGGATGTGGTGCTTGTGGCCGTGGAGGTGGACCTTTAGCAGCCGGAGGAGGACGGGGAGGTGGCGCATGGGAAGCTCCATCTACATCAATAATTCAAAAGACGTTGGGTCGATGAAGTTAAATTACCTTCTTTAGTCGTTTCATCACCCTTTCCAGCCGAACTAGGAGGAGCCGGTCTTGAGGGAGGTGGAGGTCGGGCAGGCTCTTTTTTCTCAACTGAAGTTTCAGTCACACTTTCTTGCATTGGTTTTTCATTCCAACTAGAATATCGTTAATATGATTTCGTAATATTTCGAATAAAACCTTGGAGCCACAAAATCTGGTACTGAGAATGGGGGAGGTTGAGGACGCTCGGGTGGTAACTGACTTGTTGTTGTATCTTGATAATAGTCTGCAAAAGTTTGAATTAAACCGGAAACTACTAACTACGACACCTGTGGTTTGCTGAGTAGGGTAATTATAGGTGTTGTCAGCATATGGAGACTGATTGCTATATCCATCATAGTCTGTCTTCGGCACTTCTGATACGTTTGCCCCTGAATCCGCTGTTACCGATGGAGGATAATCAGTACCATAGGAAGATTGCTCATAAGTAGATTGATTGTAGTTAGTATTATCATAGTTGGTTTGATCATATCCCGATTGATCATAATCCGCGTAATTTCCAGTCGCTGTTTGATCATAACTATTTTGATAATTGGAGTCATAGCCATTATATGCGGTTTGGTCATATCCCTGGCTGCCAGAGTTATAAGCGGACTGATCGTATCCCTGACCGCTAGCGTTGTAAGCTGCTGTATCGTATCCTTGAGCATTTGAATCGTACGCAGATGCATCATATTGTTGAGCATTCGAGTTATATGCTGATTGGTCATATCCTTGTTGCTGCTGAGCAGTTTGGTCATATGTTCCATTGTTATACGCTGAAGCATCATATGGAGTTTGGGATTGATCAGTTTGGTTATAGTTGGAATAATCATAATCTTGAGCAGCGTTCGCATTATAAGTATTTCCATACGAATCAGTAGCTTGATCATATCCAACATGATAAGCAGCGGTAGTGTAATCATACTGAGTTGAAGCAGCTTGATCGTAGTTTCCCTGATCATAACCAGCATAATATTCGCTATACTGATTGTTATCTTGGTAGTATTGCTGGTCAGCTTGCCTAGAACTAAAGAATAAATTATTTTTTAACTGCTTCCTAACCCATCATAACCCTCAGCTGGAACATAATTGGGATCGACATCCCATTGCTGTGTTTCATAATTCCATATGTAGCCTTAAATTCGATGTTACTAAACTAAACTTTGAAAAATGAAACCTGGATAAGCATTAGGATCATATGTTTCTTCATGCGCAGTGGAGCTATTCACATCTTCGGCATGTTGTTCCGGTTCCGGCACATTTTCAGATGGCGGTACTTCGTTTGATATTTCCTCTTTAGGGTTAACATTTTCTTCAATGGCTAATTCGGCTACGTTTGTTGATAAGTCTTGAGTTCCTTTCAAAGAATCGTCTTCTACTGTTTTCGCTGTGCCATTCTCGTGTATATGATTGTCTTCATCACAAACAGCAGCAGGGAAAGATGATTCGGGTGAAGTTTGATCATTTGGTTGACTCTGATCACCTTTAGTCTCCGTATTTTGCCTTACCTAAATATTATAAAGATGTTATACATAAAATCTAAGACTCTAAACTCACTTTGCGCAATTTTTTACGTTCTTCTTGCATTTCTTCAGAGAATGTCGGCTGATCTTCATCATCAGGCGTGGACTGAAATGAAATATCTTCAACAAACGAAATAAAGAATGCTTTGAGAAAGTAGTTGTTATTGCGCATCAACACAACAAAATGTGTGTAAAATCATTGTTCACAAAATATTCAAGAACAAAGCATCTATTTCAGTCAACTAAGTGATGCAATTTGTTCGTTGAGCCCTCCTCAAGATAAATTATACAAAAGGTTCATGAAAATCAAATAGAATTACTAGCAGGATGTGAGAAGAAGTAATTCAATGCCAAAATGTATAGAACAAGAATGAAATGCAGCAAAAATGAGAAAAATCAGCTACAAAATAAATAAAATGTGTGTGTGTTGATGCAATAAATGAATAAGAAAAGAAATATTTCATATATATAAATTAATATAGTTAAGTAAAAGATGTTACTGACCGTCTTTTCATGTGCACTGACAGAAGTTCTGTCCGCTGATGCCATTTGCAACCTTTCTGGAAAATTTGCATAAATCAACGATGAAATTAAATTATCATTAATATTGAAATATGTAAAAATGAATGAGCTGTGATTGAAGAGTAAAAGAGATTTTGAGTAATGATTTTCATATTCAATAACATTATGAAGCATTTGAAATATCTATTGAAAGAAACAACCGCTCAAAGCAGCAGCTTCAGAAGCTATTGAGGCACCATAGTTGGAAAATCGATGAGTCAACAGAATGCAAAATAAAGAGAGAGAAAAAGATAGAAAAAGAAAGAGTAAGATTATGTAAAAAGAACGAGGTGCTCACGACGAGAAAGCAACCAACAGCTAAGATTGAATGAAGTACAAATCGTTTGTAGAAGAAGATTTAGCTTTGCACATTTTTCAAATAATATTTCTTTCTCTTCCTCTCCAATTGAGGAATGATAGCCGAAAGCCATAAATTTATTATGGATTCCAATTTTTTGGAAAGCTTTTGAAATAGTTTTACCTTTTTGTTCCTCAAAGTTTTCCCAATCCATACTTGCTCGACGATGAACAACTGGATGTGGCGGAGCTTTACTCTTATATGCTGGATCTTCTTCCAAAATATCTCCTTCGTAATTATTAATGGGAGTAATTCTGCCAGTACCTTTGGCCTGAAACTTTTCATTTATTTATTTATATTCTCGATATTACTGACCTGAGCAGGAATTTGTTGTGACATTCCATCATAAAAATCTGAACATGACATTTCAGAACGACGACGTCGAGAATCTGGAAACAGATTACTTTGTTATTAGAAATTGTAAATATCAATAAATCCATTAGGATATGGGAACAGCCAACACTGAATGCGCATTCACGTAAAATAATAAGATGGGCTTGTTTTCTCACGTCCGTCACGTGAAATGCAAATTCCACGTTGCTTACGTGAGAATGACAACAAGTTAGGGGTGAATAGGCTAATTAAGCCAAGATGAATTTCAATTTCTTCGTCAATCTTCAATTTTATTGCAACTCTTTCGTTATTCGAGAAAAAATCTTTGAAACGTTTTTGTTTTTCGGGCGAAACTTTTTTTTCTTCTCGGTATCCAACAACATGGACGTAGAGAGGGATATCCAAGCAATTGTCGAGGAAATAACACAAAAAGGCTTACTTGGAATGGAAACTTTGATTTTCTCATCAGGTTTTACATCCACTTTATCCTGGGATCCAACAAAAGCAAAACTTTCAATTGTACATTGAGAAGTCGGAGTTGTTGGACGCGGCCTTTGGACAGCAACGTTGTTATATTCGCGACGGATGTTATTATCTTGCTCTTTTGATGGCTTAAAAAAACAATTGTATTCAATTCAATTTGAGCTATCATACATCCATTCCTAGACATCTATTGAAAGCTGAAGGAGGTACAGCTCGGGATTCATTCTCTGAATTGCTTCAAACGTTATACATTAATAAAACATGAACATACTCAAGTTAATTTCTACTTCCAACTCAGGATCATCTTCTTCTGATCTTATGAGACTCTTGTGTAATTCTTGCTCCTGTTCTGAATGACCAGGACCAGGTACAGTCATCTTATACTTTTGAGTTTCACCCATTTGAGGATCAACATCGTTCGGATGAGGTTTAAGCTTAAATGGGTAATCATTGGAGAATAATGGCATACGAAATCTTACAACTTCTATTATTGTATCGTTTGTGTCACTATTTTTCAAGCCTTCTGTTTGATCTTTCAATCCCTCGATCTGGTCAATATCCAGTTCGGCAGGCAACTCCGGAGCAGCTGGCATATCGTCGCACTCGATAGATTGAGTGAACGAGCGCATGGCACGAAATGATGCTGCGCGTTCTAAATTCATACATTTATAGAAGAAAAAACAAAAGAAAACATTAACTGACCAACATTAGATGTGTCATCGTCGTTTGCATTGGCTCCACGAAAAGCATTTCGACCTCCATGTGGATTGAATTGATTATTATAGTTGTTCTCGCGCCAGGACATCACACATTCGTCTTGCTGGGACTGCAATATAGTATTGAGTTGGATAGTATAGTATAATATAATCTCATAATAATCGAGCAAAATAATCTCCAGAAATGAATGTGTCTGAAGTATGACAAGTGCAAGATGAAATGTCCGATAAATGAAGTTGAGCTTAGTAGTGAGCGACGAAAAACTTGACAATCAGGCTCAGCTCTTTATGTTTTTCATATCAAAATCATCAAAAATTTCTTTACCAAAGCCAATAACACTGAATGATTTTCTTTTAAAATGTGAAGAATAGGAGGCAAAAACAAATTTTTAATCACATTTTTCAATTATGGAAATGTTTTGAAATCACATCAGCAAACTATACTTTACTTGAATGCTGCAAATAAGATGCTTCTTGCTCTCTATCTCTCTCTGTCTATCTTTCTCTATATCCAGAAAAAAATAAGAAAAACTATTTGAGCTTGAGAACAATAAGCCGCAAAATAGACTGAGCCGTTCAACTAATGTGTGTGTTCTCAGCTACCGGGAATCGATGAATTTCCTTCCAGAAAGCTGTGATGAGCTTGGTCAATTCCCCAAGCTTTCTATTCAACTCATCCTGAGATACACACATGGAAGTGAACTGGGATGAGAGGAAGCGTAGACAAATTGAGAAAACGAATAGTGTGAAATGCTCGAGAGAAAAAAAAAGTAAAAAAGAAGACAAGTAGAAGCTTCCATACAAGAAAAACAAAACAAGAATAGAAACATAAAAAGCGACCAATAACATAATAAATTTTAGAAACATGAAAGCCAGCAATCGCAATCGATCCCAACGATGTTCTCAGAGAAACTTTTGAAATGATAGAACATTCTCTTTCATTTATACTTAAAAGGCAACATGATTTTTTTGTTTCGGAAACAGAACAAACGTTGTCATTAGAAAACGACCACAGAAGAACATCTTACAGCTTAATGAGAGGAACTTCGTTAGAGAGGCAGAGAGAGAGAGAGAGCGAAGAGGTGATATAGACAAAAAAACGTAAAGCTTCCTTTTACTAATATTCAGAGGAATAAGACATCGTAACAAAAAAAAGCCAATCTTGTCTAAAATAGTATCATTGGAGAAGAGAATTGAAAATCCCAAGAACGAGGAACAAAGCGTTGTCAAGCTAAGAAAGCTTTAGCAGAGAATCGATGGAGGCCACCCAAAGTTCAAATCAATATCTAAGGAAAATGAAATGAAAAACTGAAAAATGTTATGATAATAATTGAAAGAAGCAAGAATTTGAATAGAAAAAAGAAAAACAGAAAAGTTTTAAAAGAATTTCATAGGAAGAAAATGAGTTTTCAAGTTGTGTGGTGTAGACTGGTGAGCCAGGGAGAGTAGCAGCTCGATTGTATCAAACAGCATAATTTATTAAATCTTTAATATTATAATATATGTAATTGAGAGTGAAAACTGAAAGCTTAAAACGCCATATATTTCAGGAAAATAGTTCGGATATACATGTACATATGTGGCTCCTCTGTGTCTCAACTTGTTCAGACAGCAGTGAAGAAAAAGCTTGAATGAAAAGTGAGCACCAGTAGAGAAGTATAAGAAGACTTTTAGAGATAAATGCTTAAGCAGTAGGGTAAAAAGAAAATGCAAAAGACATAGAAAGAGTAAAATGGAGAAAGAGAGTAAAAGAAGGAATATATCCATGCTCTATAATGGAGAAGATCGATTGTGAATTGCGCAGCTTCAGAGAAGCACACAGCATGGAGAGTGAGAACTAAGAGAGTTAGATGAGAAAAGCCGAGAGACAAACGGATGCTTGGAAATAGTAGGAAAGAATTGGCCTCTCTCCCTCTCTATCGTTCCTTTTTGGTCATTTGTCATCGAACGGATAATCGATTTGAGTTAAGAGGCTGCATTAAGTATAATTCCAAAATAGCTTAAAGAATGCCAATGTTTTCTCATCTTAATGAGAAAAAAAACGACTGACTGATTGATAAACAGCTTCATCATTATATAAAATATAATTAAAATGAAATTTGATAGCTCAAACTACATATATTATGTACTACTGTGGCTGAAAACAAATACTTTATCATAATTTCCATTAATGGTATTAGAGTGTGTGAGAGCGTAACGAATACTTTCCTAGGAAAGAATAGAAAAAAAACTTTTTTTCTCCTATTCTTCTCTCAAACATTATGATCTCAGAAGATAAAAAAAGTTTTTTTGTGAAATGTTTTTGACTTTCAAAGCACAGAAAGAATCTTATGGCTCGAGCCTTATCTCAAATTCATCGTTTTTCCTCAGTCCTTGGCATGTTACGTTTACGTGAAGAATTTATTACATCATAATGCCGTTTGAACTATTCATTTTGAAGAATTGCATATAAACAGAGCGGTTGCTTATGAACATCAACTGAACGGCTGCAGTTGTAGATTCAAAGAACGGTGATCATCTAACGGGTGCTTCATACCATAATCATATGAGATGCTTTCAAATCGTTTTTTTTTTAAATTTTTACAGTTAATAAATTATGATTTATTGATAACTTATGGGTTCGCAATGTGAAATATATCATTAATAAATAACCTGCAGCTGCTCTTTGAATACGAATGAAATGAAATCGACAAAGTTAATCAGTTTATTTGAATGTTTCGGCTGTACAACCTTATTCTCTTGTTACTTCCCTTCTCATCGCATGCGTTAGAATGTGCATGTCGTGGATATGCTGAGTAAGTATTAATATATCATTTTTTGCTTTTTTTTTTAAATTTTAAAAGATATTCAGATGTGAAAATTTTCTTGACGCTGCGCCTGCTGGAAAATGCTCAGGTAGTTACTGTTTTGTTGCACGTCGCACTCCTGAAGAACCTCCAATTCGACAAGTACCCATACTATTCTAGGTTCGAAGCGAAATAAACTAAATTAAGGGATGTATAGATACTCATCAAGACGTTTCAACTGTTTCGAAGTGTGTGCGGAATAGAAGAGGAGCGGTCTTTTGTGTTTGCAAGTGAGTATACCAGGCGGCTCCAAAAAATGAAGTAAACCTCTTTTATTCCAGCACTGATAATTGTAATGGTGCTGACCATGAGATGACAGATATCACAGATCTTCCAACTATTTTTTGTCATGTTATCAACGATGACATGGATGCTTCTGTTGGACGTACATGTGTGAGCCATTCATGCTACCAAACACAAGCATTAGTAACTGCATATCTGCAGTATATGATAAAATATTTACAATTCTTAAGAGAGTTGTTGAGTTCAATGATCTACGTCAAACTTCAATGGAGTATGGATGTACAACCCCCCTGTATTATGATTCCTCACTAAGTCGGTATCACAGTATGAGATGAGAAGCTGACTGAGAATTCTAGGAATTATGAGAGGGCCTTTAGATTTTGCCGATGATTATCAGTACTTCATTCAATCCACACAAATAATCGTAGAATCTGGCAGAATTTGCTCCACTGTCGGTTTAAATATTAATTTAATAACAGAATAATAATTATCAGAACTTGTGTAATAAGCCAGCCCACATTTATGTGCAAATGGGAGATGTGTTATGCTATGTGCATAATGGGAGAGACGCCCCAGACATGTGCAGAGGTGACATTTCCATAATTTTTTTTAATTCATCATACATATTACGATAATAATAACTTAATTAAAGGAGAAATATGCTTTACGCATTCACCGCGGTGGGGAAGATCTATCAGAGGATGTATCTCATCTACTATAAATTCAGAACTATTTCTGGTTTAGTCAACTTAATAACAACAGTTTCAAGAGTTATTTTTGTTTCAGCAAGCAGACGGAAAACATAATTATAAATACTGTAATTACAACTTATGTAACGGCGACTCTCTGAACAGTAGTAGTAGTGAGCACAAAAACAGTTTTGTTGTCTTTATTTTGATCCTCATTGCGATTACTGTCTTCCCTCAGGTTGGCTCCTGAAATGTTTGTTAAAGTATTTTCATAATTGAATAAATATAATAATTAAAAAACTATTTGAGGGAAGGGCAACAATGATATGAGGTTAAGCACAACATCTCTACTTACACCATTTGTGATGTTCGAGTAAGGGAATTAGGAGAAACTCGAAACATCTTACGATTTCCAAAGAGACAGTAGCGTAGATTGGAACTACAGGAGTATAATAGAAATGGAGATATAAGTGTGAGTAAATCACTTATATAAGGTAATAGATAAGATGCTAACTTCGCATACCACAGTGAGTCCACATCACTTGATGATATTGATAAATTAAATAGCTGAAGGGATGAATCTAATTTTTCATGCAACATACCATTTACCGTAATGACAGCAGCAAGAGCTTGAATGATGAAATTTAATAAGCTCATTATCAGTAGATTAGTTTCAGATTTTTTTGTTCCTGCCGTTCGATGCTATAAGTGTGATAAGTGTGAGAGCTGTGAATGATATATCCAGTTTATACCATAACCAGCTTCATCATAGCTGCAGTATTCAGCATAACGTTGACAATCGTAACTACTACCATAAATGGTACAAGAAATGGTTGCACGCGTTCTCTAGCCTGAAAATGAAAAAAAGTTTAATATTATTGAGCAATGAAACAAGAAGCTTAATACATTTCCAATAGTTATATATCTATCAGAAGCATTTAGATATCTGAAATAAGCTCCTTCAACGATAATTGGATAATTGACACTTGTTGGAATGAAACAGACGAAGAGCACAAGTGGAATCGTCAAACGACGCCACATCTTGAAAAGAAAAAAAAGGAAAATTAATCAAAAATATTTTTGAAATCTTCATCAGCCTATGGACGATTGAAGATGAAAAATTACATTTTCGTAGTTGTACGGATAGTATATCATCGAACATCGGTTAAGAGATGTTATTGTAATCATCATAAATTGGATATAAGCAAATTGAATTTGCATAAAATAATAAAATTCCAATCCCGGTATATACTTGGCTTCAAACATGAATGCTAATAAACATTCTCTACAGGTACTCTGGGGAAATCGTAAGGTAATAAATTGATTGAAGAATGTCCAAATATTCTGAAATGTTCGATTAGAGGACGAATAGCACAACATGTTCATTGAGTGCATTTCAGATCATTGCTATCATACTACTCACAATGATCGTTGATGATAAGTATAATGTGAAAAAAGATCCTTTGAACATTTTCCAATTTTTTAATATAACTACGGCAACAACTATATAGCAAAACACTGCGAATAGACCGTAGCTTGTTGGAATTATAAATAGCAGAGATGTTAGTGCCATTTCTTCTCCAAAGGTAGCCAAGAGATGAGGAAACTGAAATAATGAAGTGCTAGTTGAAAATAAAATTGAGCAGAAAAAGTTCATACAAGAAGCGATTGGATCAGAATTACAAGTATTGAATACTACCAATTTTCATCAAAGAGACAGGTGGTTCAGAAACTAAATTCAGAAATAACAGCTTTGGAGTACATAACGTTTCTTCTTATTCACCTATTCGCATAGTTTGTGACCAAAATATTTTAGATTAGAGGTGTGACATTTCAAATGTTGAAATGTTAATGGAGGGACTGAGAATGAATGAGTTGAGCTTCCAGAAATCGGAAGAAGAGACAGAAAGAGAATAAAGCGATAATAGAGAGACTCAGTATAATTATGAATAAGTGAGAAAGAAAAAAGAGAAAAAAACAATAAAAGAACAGTCAATCATGTCAAACAAGACATTTTTTGAATGTTACCCTTTAGAACTAATGAGAAAATTATTTTTCTTGTAAAAGATCAAGAGAAAGACAGCTCACAGTAACCTTCTCTTTTGACTTTCGCATGGTTATGAGCAAGAACACACCGTTCTGTTTTTGTGCGTGTTCAATCAAATCATTATAGCAGAAAAAGAAAACGAAAGCAAAATAAAAAGAAAACGAAAGAATGAAAAAAGGCAGATTCTGTTGATATTTTGTATGAAGCATGCAATGAAGATATCCGGCCGACCAGCCGAAACAATAACGCCTGAAAAATAGTTTTTCACCTATGGAAAGCTCCAGATTGCATCTTTCTCAATCTCTCTCTCTCTCTCTCATTCTCTATTATTCTTACAATGCCGTTGCAAATTGATAATTTTTGATAATTCAATAAAGAAATTGGGGAAATAGAGGCATTGATGGTCTTCAGTTTTAGAATTGAATCTAATGATTTGTTACAATAATTAATAAGATGCAGTCGTTCGTCTATCATCAGAAAAATTAAACCGCGGATGACTGAATCACACTCTATGAGATTATAGATATATATGTTTTAAAATCATATTTATAATTGTATGATTGACTATAATAGTATTTCTTTATTTCAGATTGAGTATGATAGAGAGAAGATCATACTATGCCATGGCTGCCTATAAGTTAGAATTTGACGTGTTACTCTCCTAATCATCACGTTGGATAGGAAATAATTAGGATATTATAAAAAAAAATTATAGTTGATCGATCATTTTGTTCATATTCAAAACTATTTTTTCCTTCTTTTCTCCATTTTTTTTGTCTGAATATTCTCTTCCCCCTTAAATCACCGTCCCTTTATCCCCCCCCCCTCTCTTTGGTCTTCCGCCTTTCCTCACTTCTGCATCTATCCATACGTCGTATGACTCTGAAGAGTTCCGTCCGGATCGAAGTAAAAGCTAAAGCTTGTGCGAGTTTTAAGCAATTGTCTTGTATTCCTTTTTATCGCATTCTTTTGCTCTAAAAAAGAAAATATTTTTTCTCTTTATCGCTGGGAAAGGCAAAATTGAAATCCTATAATGTCAAATTTTGATGAAGAAAGCTTCTATGGGAACTTCTGAAATCAGATCCTGTTTTCTGAGTTGCACATCCTAAGAATAGAAGATAGGGGGGGGGGGGGAAGAAGAGAAAAAAAACGATATAAATGACGTATATATTCTGAAAACATTTGTCTCACACATATGTATATGATATACATATGTTGAAGAAGCATATGGCCATATAAGGTTTGTGTGCATTTGTGTGCATCTGTGTGTGTCAATGTTGTCTTCAGAATTGTGCTTTGAAAATGTCGGAATTGGTAAAGAAAACCGAATTATCTTCGTTGTCTGTTTCAGAGAATTACAGATTGCAATCATTAAATTTTCGTAAATTGAATGAAAAATGCGGATCATCTTGACGATTTCCTTATGAATTGGCTCGTCGTTTGCTCAATCTAAATCAATACTGATGTATCTAAACAATATAATTAATTATTTATTTATTATTTTTACACACTGAATGAAGAATAAGAAATAAAAAAAAAGGAACAAAGACAACAAGACATCGTCTGTCACATGACTTGCTGAAGATGAACTTCTTGAGCTTTTCGTTCTCTGCTTCATACTTTCTTCTTTTAACTTCCAATATATATTTATATCTATATGTGTAAGTATTTTAACCGAACTTATGTAGTATGTACATGCACATGTATGGACATGTGTTATCAGTGTGTCGTTGTGTCCTTGTCCTATCATATTCATACAGCACAACCTTTCCTTCTGTCAGTCACATAATTAAATACTTTGAAAGTGCAAACGTGTACATGTGTACGTCAGAACAAGCTTTATGCTAATTTTTAATGAAATGAAACGAAGCGTGTAAAGCTACTAGAGAGTGCGACAATGTCGTTCATCCTTTCTTCTTCCAAACACAACAAAATAAATCATTGAGCAAGGGGGCAAAAAGGGGATGATGTGGACTTTCAAGTAAATTTGCCTCACCGCACTCACATACAAATTCGTTGAAATGAATAAGAGAGTGAGGAAAAGCTGAAAGAGCAAAAAAAAAAATTTTTTTCTTCTTCTTCTTTTTCTTTTTTTTTTCGAAATTTTCTAAAACGATTATTCACTAGCCTAATTCTGGGTCATTTACCTCATTGTTATTCCATTTATGGCCATTGTTCAACTAAAAACGTTTTCATGCATGATGTCATTTGAGTCATTTTCTTCTTTTTAGTTTTTAATTTACTTACTTAAATATCTATAAAAAACTGGAGAGAAAACCAACTTTGCTCCTTCCATTTCTCTTTATTCGTGATATAAAAAAAATAAAAACTAAATTAATATTTCTCCTCTGCTCATTAGCTTTACATGAAAAATAAAAAAAAAGAAAGATGGATAGAGAGGGAGAGAGTGAGATTGAGAGTGAGAGGGAGAGAAAGAGAGCAAGGAGATAATAGGAATTTCTGAAGGAACTCTAGCTTACAACCCTTTCTATCTATGAAAGCTGAATTACTCGGTTTCTGCTTCAAAGGAAAACCGGAGATGAAGTTTTAAATTTTAAATCTGATGCATGGATTATTCAGCTTGTGGTGTCGATTTTCTCGTTTCCTTCTACTTATTGGTCAAATGTGATAACTGGACATGAAAGAAGGAAAAGCTAATCAAATAATGTTAAAGTACAAACGATTAGCTTCAAAAATAAGGAGGAACTCTCGAAAATGGAATGTTGAGTGATGCAGAAGCATTGTGATAGTTGCTTTGCCACTAATGCACTCCCACTTTCTATGGAAAAGAGTTGTTGGAAGAAAAATTTAGTGCGGTCACTCATCAAGCTTTTCATTTTGTTTTCTACGCATTTTATCTCTCTTATTCACACATACTGAAGTTGTTCATCCTGTTACTTCTATGTTAGATTCCCGCAGAAGAAGAAAGATAAAGGGATACACTACGCTCACATAAGCATAGGGTGTGGTAGATCCAGAATTGAGAGATTAAAGAAAATAAAGAGCTGCAGAGTCATAAAGATTGAAAGAGAAACAGAGATAAAATAGAGAAACTGAGATGAGCTTGTGTTGTCCTCCTCACATATACAGAAAGAGAATGTTGCTAAGTATTGATCTCTTTCTCTTTTCCTCTCATTTTCCCTCCAAATTTTGCATCTTGGCATAACTATCTCTCTTTCTCTTCCCTTTTCTCGATTTAGCTTCGGCGTGGAGTAACAGAAGCCAGACGTTCAATGGCATTGCAGATGCAGAATGAGAGAGCGGGAAAGCAAGAGTAAGCGTAGCAAGCTGAATGTCAGTAACGAGCAAGACTTTACAGAGAGCGAATGAGTGAGAGAGCTAGTGAGAGAAATCGAGGGTAAAAGAGGCAGAGCCAAAGCTAAAGCCGTAGGAGCGAGGCTTTCCCGAGGTGAATGGATGCGAAGCTGAGCACCCGACTGGCTGACACAGAGAGAATGAGGGAAATAGATGTAGTAAGAGGGTTCAGAGAAACAGAGACGCAGAAGACAGACTAGGCATTATGCCCGAGGGCGAATGGTCGCTGTGTTACTGCTTCTGCTGCTACTCTACAAAGCAGGCAGACTTACCCAACCACCCTCACCACAGTCCTCTTTTCTCTCTCTCTCGTTTTCTTTCCCTCTTTTTCGTCGTTTTTTTCCAGTCTTGCTTTTCTACCAGCCACCCATTCTTCATATATGAGCATATACACGCATATGAGTACTATCCCTAAGCTTTATATTGTTTTCATATTATATATTATATTATGTGAAGGCTATAATAATATTTTAAACATGTCTATGTTCTTAACTCTTATCAGTTTTCGTTAAAGCTTAGTTCCAGGCTGGTGTCAGCTTTCTGACATCTTATTCAATCTTCTCCTTCAACTTATTTAACATTTTTTTTTCAAATACGCTCGTTTTGACTTTGACTTCGAGTCTTTTTTTTGCTTCTTCTTCTCTTCACTCTCATTTTTTCTCTCTTCTTTCAGCTTTCTTTCTCTCTCTCTTCGCAATTTTCTTTCTATTTCTTACTTTTCACGTCATTCTTATACTTTTTCAGTTCTCTGGCTAACAGCTATATCGGCTATTCGTCTTAACGGGTCTTAGACTTCTACTCGTACAGAAGCCGATAAGCTAAAACACTAGTTAGATGGGCAGATGACGTCAGCTGGCACGTGAATCTGTTCGAACTCACCGATCAAGGCTAAGCAATCCTCAAAAGCACCACCAAAATGGGAGAAATGTAATTTTTTACTTATTTTTTTACTTGAAAAGAAATAATAGACAACAGCGTGAAGAAAGAAAGTTGAAAAACAGTTTGGAAAGAAACTTCCACTTGAAGCTCTTTGAGGATAAAGCAATTCAATGACGGATCTCAGTTTCCGCTTTAGTGTTTATCCATTTTTTGCTCTTCAACCCAATTGATTCTTCCGGTCATTTATCAACGCAAGAAAAAAATAGAAATGCATTCATTCCTTCAGTTTTATGATTAAATTTGTGATTTTTTCTTGCTTTTCAGATATTCACCAAGCCAATCCAAGGGATTTAATCAGCCATACGGCTACCCAATGAATTGCAATATGAGCCGAGTTTTCATTGAAATGACAGAAGAAGATCGAAAATGTTTAGAAGAAAGAAAGTATTGGTGTTTTATGCTCAGCAGGTTTGTTATACCTTTTCCTTAACCTTATGCTCATTCACATAGTTCATCTTGACACATTTGAAACTTTTTTTCCCCTTAAAACTTGGTTGGAACCATATATCATTTGCTTCCATCTATCTCTGGCTACCCTCCTGCGATGCCATTCTAATTCAGCGATTTTGAATAGAAAAACAAAAATATTTCATTCTAATCATCAAAGTCTGCAGAAGAAAAAAAAACGAAGAAAGGGGAGGAAAGATATTTTAAGAGATTTTTTATCTCCGTTTTAACCATATTTGTCCAAACAATCTTTGTATTTGAAAGCTTCAACTTGGTTAATCTTAAAAAAAAAAGAAAAATTTGAAGTTAATTGAATTGTTTTTGAACGTTAATCAGCAGAACTGGGCAAACGTACAAATGCAACTTCAGAAGCTCTCATAACATTATAATTTCTGTTTCTTTCATTTCACTTTCTTGTAAGGAATTGAATTTCTCGGGAGGTGGAGAAGAAAAAAAGAGAGAGAGAGAGAGGAAAGGGGGGGGGGGGGGGGGGGGTGGGGGGGGGAAAGGGAGATGGGAAAAAAGGGGGGGGGGGGAGGGCTTTAACCACCGAAAAAAAAAGAA